TCGTTTGTTCTCGCGTAGTACACGTAATTAACAACACCGGCGTATGCTTAATATATTTTCTTATGGAAAACTTGTTTCTCTCTGCTGCTTTCATCAAGTTTACTGGCTTCCAACAATAATTATATTATTCTAGGCAACACTGGGGTAAAAAACGATTGTCTTATAAAATAGGATTGATGGTTTGTGTTTACTAACATAAATTTTATTGTTTATGTACTTTTTTAAAAGAGTAAAGTAACTATGAACAGAAATTTACATTTTATAAAAAAAATCATTATTCTAAAATTAGTAAATTAAATTTCTGTAGACAGATCATCTTTCTTTTGTAGGAAATGCTTTTCCACAGAATTTTGGTGAGCGTATTCCAGTCTCCGGGTGTAACTCTCTTTCTCTCTCCCGTTTCCATACCCTTTGCATTGTTGTTAGCTCTCGCTTATCCGGTAAGCATATTACTAACAACTCTGGTCTGGCAGGTTTCACAGTTTATTGGCTCTCTGGCTTAATCTCTTCCAGTTCCACTCTTCTCGACAGCTCTCTCTTCCACTCCCACTCTACACTTTTCTTCGGTTTCAACGCTCAGTTTTATCTGGAACTTTGCCGCCGTCAGTCAATTCCAATTTCCAGGCGGTCGTGTTTTGGTTTCTAATTTTTCGTTCAGGTGTAAACATTCTTAATTAGTATTGTTTTTAGTGGTGTCGTTACTTCCAATCTTCGTTATCAGTCGCGTAGTGTTAATCGTCTATATCTCAAGTGCTCTTGTCCCATGAAAAGTACTCTCGTTTCTTTTTTTGTCCAATCACTTGAATCAATAAGTAATTAGGGGTTATCGCGGTGTGTATTTTTAAAACATAAATTTATACAAGTCATCAGCAAGTGAAACAAATGAGAGGTAAGCTGTAATTGAGAATGCGTTCTTATCCGTTATGCATCTGATCTCTCCCTCTCTTACTCCCTTTCATCTCCCCTTCACTCTGACAAGTGGCAGTAACATGTCATGTGTGAGAGAAAGACGGAGAAAGGCGGTTAAGTTGAAAGAACTCAACAAGATAAAGCAATAAACGAAAATTGCAACAAGTTTGCGCGTTTAAAAACAATTGCATTTCCATTTAATTTTAAAACGAAAATCACGATGCTGCAGCAGCAACAACAACTCAACTCAATTAAAAACCTTCGGTGGCCGGCAAAAAAAGATGAATTGAATTGTGCAAACACAGCGACAGAAAAAACAACAAACATAAACTTCAACGCAGCACGCCGTTACTCTTTTTTCCCATCACTTTTTGCACATATGTATATATATATATGTATATCGGATGAGATTACAGTAAATACCGAGTACAACATTTATCCGAATAAGAAAAATATTTCAAGCAAAAAATGCATGATTAAGATTATTATTACTCACTCATTTTCCATTTAAAAAAAATAACTGTAAAAGAGCTTACTTAAACTAGTAAAAACAAAAACCTTCAAATTAATCCTAAAACAAGAAAGAAAAGCTAACTTCGGGCGGAGCCGAAGTTGATATACCCTTGCAGAATATTCTGTAAATTATATTCTCCAAAATTATTCATATGATGCAATCTTAATACTCATAAAAAATCCCAACTTCCTAACTTTAAAAACACCAAAGTTATGGCATTTCCAATCGTTCAGTTATATGGCAGCTATAGGATATAGTCGGCCGATCCTTATGAAATTTGATAGGTTGGATTGATTGGTTAAAAATAGAACCCATAGAAAATCCCAACTTCCTAACTTCACAAACACCAAAGTTATGGCATTTCCGATCAATCAGTTATATGGCAGCTATAGGATATAGTCGGCCGATCTTTATGAAATTTGGTAGGTCGGATTGATTGGCCAAATATAAAACCCATATAAAATTCCAACTTCCTAACTTAACAAACAGCAGAGTTATGGCATTTCCGATCAATCAGTTATATGGCAGCTATAGGATATAGTCGGCCGATCCCGGCCGTTCCGACTTATATACTGCGTGCAAAGGAAAGAAGGGTGTGTGCAAAGTTTCAATTCGATATCTTTAAAACTGAGAGACTAGTTCGCGTAGAAACAGACAGACGGACAGACAGACGGACAGACAGACGGACAGACGGACAGACGGACAGACGGACAGACGGACATGGCTATATCAACTCAGGAGGTGATCCTGATCAAGAATATATATACTTTATAGGGTCGGAGATGTCTCCTTCACTGCGTTGCACACTTTTGACCAAAATTATAATACCCTCTGCAAGGGTATAATTATGTTCTCATAACTCAGGGTTTTAATCAATTCAACAATCAAGTACTGAACCATATCAACTCCAACTGATAAGTTAAATTTACAATTCCAAAGTTACAAACATAAATTAATGAATGACAAACTTTGCGTAAATGCCGAGTGCTTTTGTGTTTGCTATTAGCAAATACAATTACTGATTGCAATTAGATTGTACATTGCGGTTTATTGTCAAAGGTGTTATCACATCATTGCTTAAAGTGGAGCGAAAGCATGCCATTCTCTTTAACAAGGTGCTTTAAACTGATTTTATAGGACTAAATACTTTCCAATGGTGCTTCATAAGATTTAAATCCATTAACCTTTGATCACATTTTCAAGTACCTAAATAAAATATTATCAACTTTAATAAAAAAGGCACCGAAAATAGAAAAATCATAATATAATTTCAGATAGTAAAGTTTTTATTCAACATGATGTGCCAAAAACTAATCTGAATTCTTGAGCTTTGAGGAAAACCCATTTGATAGGATTATTTGTAGATTTCTTTCATCGGTTGCATAAATTGAAGTACAAATATTTTAATATTTGTAACACATGATTACATTACATGCCAAAGTTTAAAGCTACCACTATTTTTCTTTGTTTTATTTTTAACTTTATTACTTCATCTTTTTTGGCTACCTTCCTGCTGTTTATGAGTTTTGTGGCCCTTCCACGCGAGTAAGCAAACAACAACCAATTTATAGGTGAATCTATCAAAAACAATTCCCTGCACATTTTTCACAGACATTTAAAATACAATATTTTCGTGGGGTTTATATGACCACGAAAAAATGCAATTCTGTTTTTCTCTTTCATTTTTAATGCGTAATCAATTGAAATATGATGACGGTCAAATGTGAAGTGTTTGAAAATTAATAAACAGAAATTGAATGCGAAATCTATCACAGAATTTTGAGAGACAGTTAGAATTTCATGAGCTGCAATGAAATCCCATTAAAAGTGCGTATTGATTGGGTGAGGGATCACTAGGAGTTTGACATTGTTTTCAATTTTGGAAAACCCATTCAGGTATTCTGAGTGCCTTGATACGCATCAGCCCTCCTGCAATATCGTCGGGGCTAGCTTCTACACTGAGAAAAATACAGATCAATATTTGTTTATGTTTCTTTTTTTTAATAAAAGTTTTGAAGTGGCTCGAGATTTAAAAACTAACTAACTTTAGCGTCTATTTTGTACATTTTGGAGATATTGTTCATTGAAAAATATGCAAGCTGTTTAACAATTTACGTTATATTTTTTCTTGTCTAGAGCAATTTTCTCGCTTTTGGAACACCTGCTTAGGTGAAGAGGAGTGAAACTGCAGCAGTTTCCCCCAAACATCGAATCATCAAAATTGCATTGAAACTATTTCAACTTTTCCGAGCGAAGCGAAGGTGGAATGGTAAATGGAAAAGCGGGAGTGCCAGGAAAAGGATGGGGACTTGGTGTTAGTTGCTGTTCTCTGGCAACTGCAGAGATGCCGCTTAAAAATTCATGAGTGCGAAAAGCCACAGCAGGAAAAGTCGCATATAGAAGCAGTTGAGAGGGCGAGCAAAGTTTCGACAGGCAAACAAAAATCATAACGGAACCAAGGAGGATTGTGTCGGCGGAATTCCACTCTCCCCGCTCCTTTTTCACTTCTCGACCATAGGAATGAATGTTTATTGAAAGACAATGTCACTACAGAGGCAGAAAGAAAAGCTGTAGAACAGGGGGTGGGCAGGGGAGAAAGGACGAAGGCAAGGACGGCAGAGCTCGCGACCAGAAAACCTCGAAAAGGCATGAAATGTCAGAGATTTGACGCTCGGGGAGATCCGGGTAGTTAGGTCTTCTGGTCCCTCCAGGAATTGCTTGCAGCTCATATGCAAAACCGACTACAGTGGAGACTGTTCCATAAAAAAATGAATACAGTCGTTACCCTAAAAATGTTACAAAATACCTTAATTTATACGCGATCAAAAATATATACTTGATGAATTGATTTCAAAATTTTTTTATGTAACTATGTCGTCAAATGTATATAAAAATGTTGTAGAATATTAGAAAAAGTGAAAATGTGTAATTACTTAGTCTTATATCGTACTGATTTATATAGCATTAACTGTGAAAACAAGGATTAGTAAAAACTTAACTCAAAAGATTTTCTTATTCATTTTTCTATTTGACCTTTTTTAATTGGGTAAGAAACTAAAATAAAGCTATTAAGTTTAAACAATAAGCAAGAAATGTTTTCCACAGCTGTCAACCTATGTATATGATTGTTCAACAAATATTTAAGCCGAAGTCTGGGTAGTCTTGTGATAATCTAAAAAATTATTAAGTTTAGGTAGAGCTTTCGTAAATTAGAGTTTTTAAACTTATATTTTTGTATCAAGATTAGGGTTATTATTTTCATAGTTTCCACTGTAGACAAATGCGAGAAATTGGGCTGAGGACTTTTGGCTGCTGTCATTGTCGTTGGGCTACAAAACAAACTGCAGCAGCGCAAGAAAACACTGCAGAATACGAATACGAAATATGGGCTCGGGGTGAAGAAGGACTGGGGAAATGGGGCTGTAGCAGACTTTTGCTTTTCATTCATACGAAATTACCTGCGGCCAAGAGCTTAATGCCAGTTGGACTGCAAAATCCACTTAGGAAGTTGATACAATCAGTTCCTCTCCGGCCAGAGATGCAAGAGAACCCCACATCCTGCTTCTCCATTTCCCAGTGCATACTGTGGCCTGCATGGAGGATGAGGACGAGGACGAGGATCTGGCTGTAGATGTAGATGGATTCATTAAAACGAATTGCTGCGAGTTTTAAGGCCTGCCTTGCAACGAATGGCAGCCAACGATGCACAGACAAAAAATGTTACTTGGTATATTGAAAAACTTTAGCTTTTAAAATTATATAAATAAATATTTCATATAAATACTCTACCTTTTAAAATATTAAATGAGTTGAGTTTAAGAACCACTTTTTTACATTTTTTAATCTAAATTTATATTGACAAATTTTGTATACCATATTGATAAAACCATATTATAAAACTATTCACTGTTGAGACTTATATCTGAATTTAAGGGCGGTTGTTAATTTTATTTTTTTTTTTTTCAAAGTCTGGTTTATAATAATTTCTCGCTGTGCCCATTTATATCTTTGTCTGAATGTGTGGCTGGCGGCAGTGTGTGTGTGAGAGTTGTTTTTGGGGTTTTGTTTCGGGACTCATTGACGTGCAACATATATGGTGAGGGGCGTGGCCGGTCTGCGGCTACTGGGGATTGGTTTTGTTTGCGCCGCAAAGTATGCAACGGCTGCTGGTTGCAAGTGCCCATGGGGAAAAGGGGCGGAGGCGGAAAACGGGTTTCAAAGGGGGCTGAGTGGTTGGGGGGTTGCGGAATGAAATTTGGCTTGGCTGCCTTATTTCGGTTAAAAGTTTAGCCTCCACCCACAACCCACACCCCCTCATCACAAACTGGCCACAAGTGGAAAACGCATTAAAACTGCAAATTAACTGGAGAATAGAGCTGATGATGATCAAACGCCCCACTTCGCCCATCAACTCTAGAAAGCCGCCTAATTAGGGGAAGAGGTTTCGCCCTTCGAATTGCATTCGTATGCCCAGCTCTGAGGTCTGTTAATTATTTATGCTTTACATTTAAATGCACAGCTTAGACTAAAACACACACACTCGAGAACTGGGCGTGTTTCTATGCCCGTTTGCAGCGCTTTGGGCCGCTCCACATTCAAGTGGAGGTGGCAGCTGCTGGGGCAACACTTCCGCATCGGGAAAAAGAAAGCATAAAGCATACAGCAGACGCCCCCACACCCACACTCGCACACTGAGAAAGCCAGATAGGCTGGCATATTTTGCTTACGCATACATTTGCACAGACAAACAGACCCAAAGAGCATCCAGCATCTAACATCCTACATCCTGCATCCTACATCCGAAGTGGAACGGAGTCGAGTCCCCAGACCGACTGAACTCCATGTAACATGTTAATGAACTGCGCCAACTGTGTTTGCACAGAACTTAGTGTAATGTAATCCAGCCTGGGCACAGAATCAAACTGGGAACCCTCACATGCACTGGGGAAAAAGGGGGATTATGCTGTTGAGATCGGAGCAAAATAGAAATTGAATTTATAAGGCAGTCAGTACACCATCTTTTATCTGACTTTCAATTACACTTTCGATCTTGGTGTTATATTTATTTAGTTTGGTCTTCCATATTTAATCAAACACATTTTTGCAATATACAATTTGTTGATTGTATAATCACAAATACAAGTTTTAATTTCTCGAAATGCTTTTTTAGATAGATTATCCTAACAGGAGCTATTAGTTTTTTTCTTTTTACCTCAGTGTACATATGAGTGTGCCCACGCACACCCACACACACACGGGGACCCACTCACACCTCAGCGCCCGATGTGTCGAATGTTACGCTAAGGAGTAACTTTGACATTTACCATTCAAGGCTTATGAGTGCCACCGCAGAGGGTACAGGGGGGAGGGGGAAGGGTGGTGGATGGTCTCCAAAAGGAAGGTCCTGAGAGGGGTAAGGATATGCTGTAACCCGCCCGGGCAATTGCCTTATGGTTATTTTCATAGCCCTGGCCTGGCCACAAAACTGCGAGCCAAGTGTGACACCGACATGGATAGGGAATGGCAAAGGACCAGGAACTTGAATGGAGGCTGGGCTGGCTTTAGTGGGTGGTAAAAGGACGAAAAACGAAGGACGCAGGCTGGGTGACACAAAAAAAAAAATGAGTTTGCAACGGCGACAATCCAGCTGGGATTTTCTCATTTTCTTCTTCTTGGCGTAGAGGTTTTTCCTGTCGTTGCTTTTGTTGTGATAAGGAAGGACACGTAAGTGCAAAGGCCCCACATAGAGGACATCATCAGGTGGAAAATTAAATTGCATTTAAGGCAATTGACAGAAGAAGACAGGGCCACATGTGCTGATGAATACTTCTGGAAGGTGGAAAATGCTTTGCTAAATTATTGGACGCAAATTCAACAAAAGGAAATACCCACTTTGCTTTTATTGATAAAAGGAGCATTTTGAAATTAAAAGGAAATGCACTTAAAGGTTTTATTTAACATAGGTAGAGTAAATATTTCAAGTCTCTATTTATTTTATATATTTTAGATTATACAAATAAATGAGACATGAAAATGTTGTGGTTACATTTACGGGTTTCACTTGTTGTAGCAAACATTTGATGTTTAATAAATTAATCGTTTCCTTACTTTTCAATTGAATTGCATTTTTTATGAGACAATGATAAAAGAATGATAAACAAATGAATTTTTCAAAGGTTTACTTGTTTTATAAACATTATTCGCACATAAAGTGAACACGGATTTTCAAAAGAACATTTGACATTATAAATATTTTTTGTAACGAAAAGGATTTAAAGAACAAGTGAGGTATTGAATATAAAGTTCGTAAAACAAATAATCCAAATGAACGAAAAAAGGGAAATGTATTTTTTCTTATTTACTGTGTTCAATACTTAATATATATTATTTATAGCTTAACGGACTTAATTTTAAAAATTCATAAGCTGCCTTGCCATTTTTAAAATCCTGAAGCTTTGTAGGAATTAGTTTTTCTCATTAAGTTCGGTGAAAACGATAATCAACAAGATATCAGTTAGTTCGCTTTAATTGTATTCGTTGCAAATCGGGAAAGTAGTTAAACGTCATAATTATTCATATTGTTGGCCGAAAGTCAGGGGAAAAGGTCGAGGAGTAGATAACAGTGGGTGGGAAAAGACAAGTCCCGTCCACTTGCACTTGCTGCAGTGTCATATTAATTTAGTCAAGTGGCCACTTAAATTTTGCCACGACAACACAGCAGAGCGAGAAGGGTATATTGGGGGAGAGAGGGATAGAGAGGGGGTGAAGGAGAGGGAGCGAGTGGAAGGATTGCGAGGACTTTAAATGTGCAAATGGCAGTGCCAGGCTGTCCCGACAGCCATCTCTTTCTTTTCTTTTATCTCGTCCCCTCTCTTTCTTCCCTCCTCCTGCCGTCTCTTTCTCTTTGAGGTTGGAGTGTCTGTGTGAGATTTGCATAAGTGCATGGGTATTAGTTTGGGTGGAATGTCACTGACTTTTGTCAGCCGCCTGTCAAATGGGCGCCCAAAAGTATGCAAAGCGAAAGCGGTGAAAGTAGAAAGGGAGGAGGCGACCCGGTGAGACAGAGACAGCGACAGCAGCGAGAATGCCTAATGATTACAAATTGCCAGTGGCAATTTTAATAACCGCCACGACCGCAGAGCAATAAATAAAATCCACAATAAACACATTGCAACAAAGGAAATGCGGCGGGCGGAGGCAGGAAAATCTAGCTAAAAGCGGCTTTAATGCATAGCCGCGATTAATATTAATATCATGCGGTGCAGCGCACAGTTGGAGGCCATCCAGCCGAGTCAAGTCAGCCCCGTCAGCGGGGCTCTAAATGTGGCATAAAAGCCGGCGAAATGCAGTCCTGCAGATGAAGATGCAGATGCCGAAGTAAAGTGAAGTTGATGGGCCTGAAAGGGGGGAGGCAACGGGGCACAAAGACGAGGACAATGCCGCCACATCATGCGCATCATTAGCCGAGGATGCAGAGCCAACTCTGAAGAGAATCCAATTTACACGCAGAAAAGCCATAGCAATTACAACGATTATATCACAAATCAACATTTAAATAATTTGAAAAAATTGTGTTGTATTAAAATTCAAAAAGCGATTAATTAACAAAGTTAACTTACTTTTGGAAATACTTTTGGTGATAGAGTTACATAAATTAGAGTTAAAACTGGATCTTATGTAAGATAAGTTTATATACAAGCTTTGCCTTCGCTTTCTGTGTACTGTTCGAATTTTCATTTTAAATAGGATGATTAAATTACATTTCAATTAAAGCAATATAACGGTTTTACAGCCGAACTCAAATCGCAACTCATTTTCCGCAGTGCACTCACATTCACTGCAGGCTGCTTCGTTTTCCCCCTCGTATTTTCCAGCTCATTTCGGCTGCAAGGGAATTTGCCTGTTCAGTTTTGTGCTTAACTAGCGGATTCAACCAGAATCGTTGCTCCGCTCGATGCCAGATAACCAGATTCTAATTGGTATCCATAACTGTGGGGTCGCAACCCCAAAATTTGATATACTCGAGAGCTTTCGTCTTGTTCATTGCCACAAAACACCACTCACCGAAATACACTCGCACGGTTTTCCCCCATTTGCATATTCATTTTCAACATAATCATCATCATCATCGTCAGCCCCGTGTGTGATCCGCACTGATGGAAAACTATCAAATTCATGGAGTAATTAACAAAGCTGCGAGGGGAGGGAAATGGAAAATGAGAAGCGGACAGGTTCGCCAGCATTTTGGGTGCCTAAAAATAGAATTTAATTTGACTTTTGCCAGTTGGCAGCCGTACACCTGTGGGGAAAAGAATGGGGATTGAAGCGAAGTTCCCCCACTGATGTGCTGATGTGCTGACAGCATTAATTTCAATGCGGTTGTGTGATTTTGCCGGTTGGGATGCTTAAAGCCAGGAACAAACATTGCAAATTAATTCGTGAAAATCCTTTAACCAGAGTGTGAACTCTGGCATACGAATTAAACTTGATACTATGTTTCACCATACGCCGAATAAATTCATCCACAAGTATATTTTTAAAGTTAAATTTTATCTTCCTACCAAAACTAATATTCTAGTTCATAGTCTTCTGAACAAGTAACCAATTAGCATTTTCGTTTTAGTTTTGTTCAATTCATACACCTTTTAGTAAAACTTCTGCAGATTTTTAGCTTAATAATTGTTCATAGTTTATAAAGCAACTTAAACAGTAATGTTTTTCATAAAGAGAAACACTTTGGCTAAGAGCAAAAATGAAAGCTGGTGTGCTAATGGAATCAGGCGATTAGTGCTAGAAATATACAGTATCCTCTAAAAGTAAACTTCACATTAAAAAGCTGCAGTCTGCAGAGTTAAGCTGCCTTTATTCCGCATTCCTGACTAACTCCTTTCTCGTTTTCCTCTCTTTGCAGCTCTCCGGTGCTCGGCAAACGGCAAAACTAATTTATGGCATTAAAAATGCATATTTTCTAGCAGTGCGTCGCCAGTTTTTATCATTTGCCAGAAAGGCAAAAGGCGCATTCCACCAGCAGCTGTGCCAGAAAAAGGAGAAAGGAAAGCGGAGCTAAGACGACACGTTCGTCGAGAATTGGATTTGACTGCGGACGAGGCTGCGTCAGGGGATTTTGAGTACGAGTCCGAAAGTTCTTTAGTCAGCATACGATAGAACGTAGGATAATTCACATTTTTTTTCACGGGACTGGCAACGAAATGGCTTTCCTATGTGCACCGGTAAGTTTTGCCTTATTTGGCTCCCTTCTTTTCCGAAATCCCCATACATCATGTCTCGATACTGCAGTAAAAATTATAAGGAAATGGTTTGCCCTTATGGCGAACATCATTCTTAACGTGCCATACGCTGCGTATGCGTTATATTTTACCCATTAAACTTTTCCGCGCTCGTCACTCTTCGTTCGCAAGTGATTTTAATAATGTGAAAAATGTCAGATCGTTATGCTTAAACTGCCGCATGAAGCGATATGGTCCCAAACTCTTGCATTGATGGATTGCACGGGGCGAAATTAATCATACGCCGAGTGGGCTGCAACAGTTATGCCGCTTTAAGTGCGCCATGGGATGCGGAGCTCGTCAGTTGGTGGGGTGTTGACAAATAAACACATGCCATAATACGTGCAAACTCTGGCAAGAATAACGAAAACAACAGCTACGGATGGATAGATAGAAGCCGAAAATGGAGAGTTTGCCTTGTATTAACAGCTGCCCGCACTGTCAATATTCCTCGTAGATTTCGAGGATCTAAAGGATGCGGGGTGCTGCCAGATGGTGAAAGCAACAAGCAATGACAATGGCGGCATCCCAAAAGCCAACAGCCAAGACAAGCTGGAGGTCCATCTGCCGAACGGTGGGACAGTGGAAATGTGAACCGATTTTGATGTCCATTCGGCAAGGTGCAAGAATAGAAAGATTTATATTAATTAAATTAAGCCTTGGATGGAAATAAATGTCAGAGGGGACATTGTTTAAAAATAAAAACATTATTCGATTGATAGAATATGTTCCAAAATGGTGTTTACAAATGCCTAAAAGTAGGCAATGATTTTTGCAAATTTTTCAAAGATTGTTGATGGTTTTGAACATGCATAAAATACGTCTGTAAATAGTTTAATTTAAAGTTATTTGATTCTAAATAATATATTAAAAAGATTTTAATGTTTGAGTAAAATGATTATTTTTCAAATACTTTACTTTTTTTCGAGTGCTCCACTGTTCGCCATTCGAATCTTTGGTCTGTCTATCCCTTTTGGCCGTGCCGTCGACTGCCGGCTGTTGTGAGTGCTGATTGTCAAGTGCTCGACCCAGACACGTGCTTACACAGCTATCCACAGCTATCCTGCAGCTGCCACGCCCCTTCGCCTCTCAATATTTGTTGAATTTCGAGTTAAGCAAACGTGCAAGTGTATTTAATTTGTGATATCATCGGAGGGCAGCGGTGGGCAGTGGTGGGCAGGGTCCTGGCAGGAGTGAGGTCACTCGACTTACCCAATCCTTGGGTGTGTGCGTTTGGTTGGCCATTAATGCAGCATTTAAGGATTTTGCGGTTTGAGCTGCATTCACTTCAATCCGAGGAGAGGGCGAAACAATGCCACATTCAAGTGCATTTGAGCAGCAATAATTTTTGCGGTGAGCAAAGACAAAAGCCTATTAATGAACACACAACAACAACAACAACAGCTCGAATATCCTGCATTCTATCTATGGTATACAGGTGTGACTGTACTTGTGTTTGAGGGGCTTTTATTTCATTTAATCAATCATGCATTTTGCGAACAAAACGTTTAAGACAAAAGCCCCCAAAGAAGACTACTTAAAATCCTTTTCATCATTGAATTCCTATATGATTATGTCTCTGAATAGAAGGAATATCTCTATATATCAAGGGTGGCGATGGGTGGCAAACCCTTTTAGTTTGTGCGTCTAGGTAATTGAATTTTAAATTACTCCCCTCTCGAAAAATGATTAGCGGTCTCTCATGCATAAATAAGTTTTCAATTCTGTTCGGTAATTTGATTTGCCGTCGAGAGGCGGCTTTACAGCTGACAAAGGGTATCAATTATCGTGGCCAGCCTAGAATTATGCCACAAGGATGGCATAATGCCCGATTACTCCCGATGGGCAGGACGAGCTGAGGCCACTTGTCACAACTGCCAGAACAGGCGAGTCAAGAGACTGCAGGCAACTTTTTGTCAGTGACCAGGCCTCAAAGTTAGTGCACAATGAGAAAAATGGGAAAATAATATGAACCTCTAAAAACCTTTAAGCTTTAAATTGTCTAGGAAAATATATATTTTAATCATTCAAATTACCATCAATATAAAATTTTTAAAATAACGAATTAAATACTTTCCTATTTTAAACTCTATCCAGATCTTAACCCTAAGAATACAATAATAATAAAAGGCTTTGAATATTCATATATAACCTAAAACAAAGGGGTCTTTAATTTAAGATTTTAAGATGCTATTGCACAAATAAGAATTTTCTAAAGCAAAAAACTTTATTGAAAACAGAGTAGTTGGCTTTTGAAGCCCTAAAGCCCCCTTCTAAATATAAAAATAAGAAAAAATTGCTAAAAGTAGTCCAGGCCATCATCTTGAAGCTATTTTCCGAGATCCTGGCTAATAACTTTTGCCTTTTTGACTTTATCAGCTTCAATCTTGATTGGCTATAAAGTTTGGACTCTACTAGCAGGTTATACATACGAGTATATACGAGTGTATGCGAAATTTTGTGATATTTTTCTGTGTGTGGAGTCCTGCACTCACACACACGCACTCAGTTGAATAACTGCTCAATGCTCGCACACACAACACACACATCCGCATAGTTGACTGCTTGCGTCATCAGCATCGTCAGTGGAGTATCAGCCTTGGCATGCAGTCAAAACGCAGCTCCTGCCCCCGAATCACCCTCCGATTCCTCTGCCATATCTCTTTGCCTTTCTCCACAACTATTTTTCTATGTCAGGGGATAGAGGACATGGGACACAGGACGCAGGACAGGCGAACTGAAGCGGATGCAACTGCCCCAGACTGCGGCGGAGGCCATTGGATGTCATCAACTTTGCTCTGCCGAGAGCCTCCGCAAAGGCGAGGCAAACAAAAAGCTTAACCTCAGCACAAATTTAAGCAAATATTTGCCAGGTCTCCACCTTTCCCCATCATTTCATCCATTTCTCTGAAGGCAACTCCCCCTCTTCGCCCTCCCGTCCATTTCCATTGATGCAATTGAAGCCGGAAGCAGTTTATTTTTATTTTGCCCCTCCTTGCGGTGTCAGCAAAGAGTTTAACATTAAGCAGGTGCAAGGAGAGGACAGAGAAAAAAACAGAATGGTTATAAATGTGACTGGGGTTTCAAGAACCTTTATTTCCATCATAAAAGTCTTATTTTTCTACAAATTGTTGTAAAATAATAATAAAAATAATCATATAATTGCTTGGAAAATATATGTTAGATTACAGAAATTAATTTTTAACTTCTTTCGTACTCTTGATCAGCTGACTTTTAAGTAATCCAAACAAAATAGGCATGATTGCGGTGCAATCTGGCTCTACTAATTTATTGTTAGTACACCCAGTTTGGGTAATTTGATAACTTCAGAAGAAGAACCAATTTGAAGTGAAAAAAACCCATTTTTTCCAGCGTATTCGGGGATTTCCCTGCTCACCAGGGAAAACGACATTCGATTGATGCATGCACGATTTTAATCGGTTAAATGCCAGGGGTAAATGCAGCCCATATCTTCCGAGCAGTGCCAACTAATGATGCGCAAAATGTTTACAAATCATTTTGTCAATAACGAGCAAGGATAAAGAGCGGGGGATCCTCCGCCGGGCCCATAATTTGCCCACATTTCTTGCATTCATCCGTTGGATGGAGCGGCCATGAAAAGGTCATTAGTGTGTGCGTGTGCCTCTCTTTTTCCCCTTACGCAAGTGTGTGTGTGACTGTGTGTTTGTGTGTGACACAAATGGCCATTCAATATGCCAAGAAAGGGGCGGGGGGGAAAGGGACATGAGCTAAAGCCAAAGCCATAACAGCCACATGCTTTTTTCCACAACATTAACGCAAATTGCAAATAATAAAAATTCAAAATACCGAACCGTAGAAAAAAGCAGCACGTGTTGCTATTGTTGTTGTTGTGTGCCACTATAGTGTGTGTTTGCCTGGCTGTGTGTTTGTGTGTGTGTGTGTGTGTGAGTCGGTCGAGGCTCAAGTGGGTGGTAAAAGGGGCAAAGGATGAGTGTCCTAAGGCAAAACCACAACAACGAGGAGCCATGGGCACATTTATCGCAGCCAACGAGGCATTTTTTAAGTCCTGCAAAGGTTTACATATGGCCGATGCGAAAAAAAAGAGCAATAGATGGAGAAAAAATCATGCACTATAGAAGGGGGAAAATTGTGTACGGTTTCCCATGGTAAATTTCCTGCCATTGAGCCTTGATTGATCCTTTGCGGGGAAGTCTTGCAAGAACTGCAGGTTGAACTTTTGAAATGTCCAAGCAGAGAGTAAAATAAGAGGCTTTAGAGGAGAAAATATAATTTGTATTAAAACTACTTTGAACATGACAACAATTTATTGTACATATCTTAAACGTTTCACAGCGAAGTCAACATAAAACAAGAAAGGAAAGCTAACTTCGGGCGGAGCCGAAGTTGAAATACCCTTGCAGAATATTCTGCAAATTATATTCTCCAAAATTATTCATATGATGCATTTTTAATACTCATAAAAAATCCCACCTTCCTAACTTTAAAAACACCAAAGTTATTTCATTTCCGATCAATCAGTTATATGGCAGCTATAGGATATAGTCGGCCGATCCTTATGAAATTTAATATGTCGAATTGATTGGGCAAAAATAAAACCCATAGAAAATCCCAACTTCCTAACTTTACAAACACCAAAGTTATGGCATTTCCGATCAATCAGTTATATGGCAGCTATAAGATATAGTCGGCCGATCCTTATGAAATTTGGTAGGTCGGATTGATTGGCCAAATATAAAACCCATAGAAAATCCAAACTTCCTAACTTTACAAACACCAAAGTTATTGCATTTCCGATCAATCAGTTATATGGCAGCTATAGGATATAGTCGGCCGATCCTTATGAAATTTGGTAGGTCGGATTGATTAGCCAAATATAAAACACATAGAAAATCCCAGCTTCCTAACTTTACAAACAGCAGAGTTATGGCATTTCCGATCGTTCAGTTATATGGCAGCTATAGGATATAGTCGGCCGATCCCGGCCGTTCCGACTTATATACTGCGTGCAAAGGAAAGAAGGGTGTGTGCAAAGTTTCAACTCGATAGCTTTAAAACTGAGAGACTAGTTTGCGTAGAAACAGACAGACGGACAGACGGACAGACGGACAGACGGACAGACGGACAGACGGACAGACGGACAGACGGACAGACGGACAGACGGACATGGCTATATCAACTCAGGAGGTGATCCTGATCAAGAATATATATACTTTATAGGGTCGGAGATGCCTCCTTCACTGCGTTGCACACTTTTGACCAAAATTATAATACCCTCTGCAAGGGTATAAATATCTCTGATTTACAAATTTAAAATGTTGAAAAAATTATTAAATTTATTATGTTTATTAATACCAGAAATAATTTAATGAAACTTTTCTCGTAAAATCAATTTAACTTAGCATATTAGTACTCTTTCACTAATAATATTCATTAAATTGTAAGTTCAATTTTATAAAGGAACAAAACAAAGAATTCATGTTTATGTTATGTTTGGAAAGATTCCAATTTCATTAATTAAATTTGTTTTAAAGAAAACAGGACACCATATAACACAATGTATCCGGATATATCATTGCACACGGCAAGATTGCCTTGAATTTTTTCCGTTGCCACGAATCAAAATGGAAATCTATTTTATGCAGTGGCACGCAGCCTGGCCAAATCCTGCGGATCGCCCGCCCACATATGTGGCTACATGGGCGGGGCATCTGGGGACCGCAACACCACCTTTCTTCCTTTCTCCAATTCTCTTCTCCTTTTCTCCGGACCGTGACTGTCGAGGCGTTGGCGTAAATGCTTTGCGTATGCATCCATGCATGGGACGCCATCTCGTGCAGCTGCTTTTTGGTCTCCTTCCTGCGACCCTGGTCCCTCGTCCTTCGTCCTGCGTCCTCTTAGCCGGACCCGGATCTGGAGCTGGCATACAATTTATGTGCGAAATATGGCGCCGCACACCTTTTACTTTGCGCTACCTGGCTTTTCTCTGCCGTTTCCTTTGCCTTCGCCTTCAGTCCTTCCTTACCCCTCTCCTTTGCTGTTGTTTGTGGCCAACCTGCCACGTGCGGGACAAAATTAAAAGCCTTTGCATGCTCCACTTCCAATCTCACCAGAGTCCTGCTGAATTCGCATTGGATGCAGCTAAGGCAACTGCACTGCGAAAAACTAGGGAGAATCTCTGTAATCGTTTAAGGACTCTTTAAGGATTGTAGGACAATGGTTTGAAAATGAAAATCCAATCGCCAAAACTTGTAATGGGGAATGTACATTTTATTTAGAAGCTATTTATTTAAACAAAACTTTGGGAAACATTTTTGTACCGTACTTTATGGATAAATTACATAATGAAACCCCGTCTTATAAGTACTTAAAAACAACTCTAAGTATTTGGGATTACCCAAAATTCATTGGACGGTATGCTAAAGAAATCTCATGAAAAAAGGTTTAATCTCATTAAATATTCTTTTGAAATATTTATAGATTTATGCTTATTTTGAGAACTAAAAGTGAAGCGAAGCTACCTTCCTATTTAAATCATATTGCTAAGCAACAAAACTTGTAATGGACTGTAGTAACCCTAATTTTCAATGACATTTTTGTTTCTTGAGCCAAGTTTATTATCCTAATGAAATTGTAATTATTTTCATTCTTGTATTGGACTATGCAGCTGGCCAGAGTAATGACATGGCGACCATTGGTGACATATCGATGATCTCACCGCCCACGTCTTCCATCTCGAACGATCAAGACCCGTTTGGACAGCTGCCACCGCTACCACCGCCACTGCGTTCCACCCAAGTGCTCCAGCCGCTGAGCGTGTTTCCAGGTGCCCGCCAATTATTTTGGGATTTTGCGAATTATTTCCGCATATATATATATATGTATATGTGCTGTACATATATGCGCCAATTTGTATTTGTTCTTCTCGTTGTTTGCCTGCAGTTCTTTCCCTTTTGTTGTTTGGGCATTATTTGTTTGTTTCCCTTTTTATTTGCTGTTGAGTTTGCCAGAGTTTTTGTATAGCTTTTTCGCCCATTATAAAGTTACTGTTGCACCTTTTGTAAAAATTCTTATTTGGTTTTCTTTTCTGTTGTGCCATTTCCAATTGATTGCAACTTTAATTGGTGTGTAGATTGGGTTCTTTGATTGGTCGGTTTGTTGATTTGTTTTTCTTTCATACACACTCACACACACGCACACACACACACACACCGCCTGCATCACGAACTCACTCATAGTCAACCTGTACAGGTGGTACACCTGTACGAACACCACCAGCTACACTCGAACATTGCCACAGAGAACCGCATTTGGTCCCTAACTTTTGTTTAGCATTTTCAGCAGCATTCAGTCAATCAATCAATCAGTCAAATCTCAAAAACCAATCAGTCAAACAGTCGTCCATTAATGTATCGATGCTGTCTCCCCCCTTCTCTACCCCAAACACACACACATTTTTTCTCTCTGTGTCTCTCTATTTGTCTAGTTCTACTATATTTGCTTGCCGTTTGTATTGCCACTTTTTGACTATATAAAATAACAGTTTTGTTTGTGTTGCCACAAAACCGAATCATTTCAAAGTTTCGAATTTTTCAAGTAGTTTTCAACGCTGCTGCCTCTGCTCTCTGTGTGTTTTTTTCAAATTGTTTATTAGAGCGAAACCAACCAAAAAAAAAAAAAAAAAGAAAAAAGGCTCTGACAGCCGCTTTGTAACGATTTTTTGAACGCAAAAATTACCTGTGTGTCCACCTTTAGCTGCCTTTTTGTGTGCTGTCCAAAGTGAAAATCGAATTCCAGCTAACAAACTGCCACATTTTGTGCTCTCTATTCTTCCATACAACCAACAACAATAACTACAACTACGAACTACAACAACAAAATGAAAATGACAAAATCTCGACAATCTAAATATTTGCCTTGGTTCCTTTGTTTATTTTAATGTTTGTCTTATTTTAAACAATATTTGTGTATCATATATAATGTGTAGAGTGAGTATACGAGATAACGAAAAAAAAAAGAAACAAACAGCTTGTGATATTATTTTTGAGTTTTGGTTTAATTTCGGTTTAGTTTGTGCCGCTCTGTGTTTTCATTTGCTCTTAAAGAGTGTTCTTATTTTAAAATGTAATTCTATAAAACAATTTCCCCATGCCTGGCAGTGTCCAATTTGAGCGAAGATTCCTACGATTATGTTTTTGGTGGTCGACGTAAGACTCCGCCCACAACAACGTCAACACAACTCAAGCTGACCTCACCGCCTGTGCGTTTGCGACCCGAAGGTGGGTAGTCCTTAAAGTAGAGTCCTGCATGAGCCCCATATCATATCGAATACCATGAGGAAAATGCATTTAAATCTATTTAAAACGGTTACTAACAAGCTTTAGTCAGTTTAAAAATACAGACTTTAACCAAATTTAAAAGTGTGTTAAATCTTTTGGAAAAGGTCTGGTAGTACTAACTGTTTATATAAAATAGAGAAATAATGCAGGGCTCTACTTCCACAACACCACAAGATTTTAGATATAACAGACTCCCAATTTATTTACAACCATTTCCTGGAACCATAGACGCCTATCGCGGAGCTACCATAAACAACGGAAGGTTCTATCGTCACTCCTTCAGCTACGCCCCCAAAAGGCAGCGCCACTCGAGTCGGGATGATCGAGACCGCGAGTCTAGGTTGAGATGTCATGGCGAGGACGAGGCCACACTGCGCCAATTGCTGCTCGAGTACGTAGAAAGTTGATCCTTGAGGGGGGCCTGAAGGGTTACGTGTATAGCCAGTGCCACGCCCTCTGATCCGCTGCCAAGTGACCTCGTAATGGACTCGGTGGCTTTTTGGGGCCAGGAGCTCATTATGGGCCATTAATTTGCAGGCGAGACCAGAGGATTGCCGGCCATAAATACTCGCTTTCAGTTAGACAAATAAACAGCAATTATTTGTGTGCGCCATGTTTATTTAATTTATTAAACAAATAATGAACGATATATTTTTAGTTTGGGCGTAAATAAATTTTAATTTCCACTTTAATTTGTGTGTTTTTGTGTGCCATTACAGTCGGGATGTGTGCTTACAAACAAGGATAAGCACCTCCAGCCCTTTTTTTGGTTTGTTCTCTTTTTTTTTCTGTGGCTTGTGATATATTAACGAGCAAATATGCAATGTATATGTTTAATGTTCTCCTCCCACACAGATTTGCGCAAGTTATGTTCAGTTAAGTGTCCTGCGTGTGTCCTTAGACTGTCAATTATTCATTGAGGGCCTTTGTGTTGTGTTGTTTTTGTTGCGCAACCTCCCCGACAAAATCAAACGAACAGATATCATAAAAAAACCCCAATAACTCAACCGCGGCCACATACGACATTCACCAAAAAACCCGAAAAGAAAAGCGAGAAAAAAGAGCGAAGAGAAAGCAAAGCAACTATATGAACGAACTAAAGATATAATTATAGTAAAAGAGACTCTATAACAAAAACAATTTATCGACGGAGTCCAAAGAAAAGCCAGCAAAATGATGGGCACAATGCCACCCAGGTACATAACTATAGAGTTAATCTAAAAATTAATTAACTTTAACATTAACAATAGCGACAAGATCGCAATGCGATTAAAAACAATTCGAACATCACTCATCCGCCATGTATGCAGAGCACAAGTTTGGTTTTATTTCTTTCGTTCCATTAACCACCATCCATTCGAGCTGATTGTGTGTCATATTAATAATTTAAATGGCTTCTCATCGTTAATTAAAAACTGTTAATTAGCAGCATTTGTTTGCCGTTTGCTGCCTTTTGCTTTCATAAAACCGCCTTTGTTGCTATGTCACGTGCTGTACAAAATTGCAACTCAATTGAAATGTATTTACTTTGCTTAAATGTCACTGAGTGATTGAGCACATGTGTCTGTAATTTCATTTCCATTCTACCTGCCAATTTACTCGTGTATATACTAGGGATGAAAACCCAAAGAAAAAGCATAAGGTTGGGTAGATTTCAATATTAAATCGTATTGATTATGTATAAAAAATACAGAAGCCAGAAATGCTTTCTTATCGTTATTTATTTCAATGATAACACTGATTGATGCCATCCCTAGTATATACGATATATGTATTTAATTTATCTGTGTGTATATCTGCAATCGCCGGAACTGCATTTCGTCAAATGCAAACGAGGCAAAATTTCCCGAAGGAAACGGGGACGAAATGCATTTCTGGTATGCAACTCAAACACCCTGCCTCACAAGTTGTACAATGTCTATACGTGTTCTTTATCATCCAATTCCCAATGCCCCTTGAACCACAAAAAACTGCCACAATAACTCTATGAACTCTATGAACTCCATGAACTCCATGAACAACAACAACAACAACTCAACCACCGATACAACAAAAGCCACACGCAAAGTGGCCTGGTATTCACGCCACTCAATGAGTATGCAATTACAACCAACTAACTTCAATTACGAATCTAAATATTTTTACTCTACCCCCTTCGACATATTGTAATGCAATAATCCAATGAATACCCCATCTCTTTCTGCACTCTGCACTGCTCTCTATTTTGGCACTCGTAGCCCATCAAATTGATTTGTTAATTATTAGAATATTTGCCCAAAAACCAGACACTCCGCTCTCCCATTTGCATGGAACGCAATTAGAATTCAATTATGTTCAAATAAATTAATTTAGTTTCCAAAACGTGCTCATCATCTGGATGGGGAAAAATAGTGAGAGAGATAGCGACCGTAGTGTGGGTGCGAGTGTGAATCCCCATTTGGCACTACTCAAAAAGCCCTTGGGAGCAGTCACAACAATATGATGCTTTTGCCTGCACAGAGAAATATCACAGGAATTTGCTAGAAAATGACTTAATCTTGCCAATAAATCAAGTATTTAGTTATAATGCGGACATAAATATGCTGCGTTTTTATAATATTTACACATGGTTAACCTTGAATTTAAGTTTGAAAAGTTGATTATTTTTAAAACTGTCATAGCAATGCAAAACCTTTTAAAATAACAGAATTATGAGATAGATATATAAAATTATAAAGTTGACATAGTAAAATACTATGCATTATATTCATTACTTTGCTGAATTTATGTGCAACATTTGAACACCAAAAGAAACGCCACAAAGCAATATATTTTTCTCTGTGCGGTTGCCAGGATGTTGTGTTTTTTATGACATGCCGAAAAGTGTTTGAGGGCCATTAAGTCGCTGTTCGCACCACACACACGCCACGCACACTCACCCACACTCGTGCGCAGCCATGTAAAGCCATTGACAAACATCCTTTGGCCAGGCAGTCAATCAGCCTGCGGTTGGCCACTTCAGCAGCTCTGTCTCTCTCTATCTCTCTTTCTCTTTCTCCCTGCATGTCATCAAGTTCATAATTAGCTTAACCCCTCAAAAAACCCTTTTCGTGCGTAATCCCCTGCCCAATGCATCACTCAGTCAGTCAGTCAGTCACACAATATTTTCAGGATTTTTCAACTCGTTTAATGTCCTCCATTTGTGTTGTTTGTGCTTTCGGTTCCATTTGTTTCGTTGCTGCAATGAATTACTGTACACTTTTTATGGTTTAATGCTCGATGTTTAAAGTTTGCATACAACAGACCCCCAGACTAATTGGCGTAACGGTCCCTTCACCAAAATTAAACAAAAATTAACAAATAAAAAACCGAGAGAAAACTGTAACAACCAGAAACTACAACCTCATGACGTTTGTAGAGACATTTGTTTTCCGTTCATCCGTTCATTTGGCTTTGCATATCTGTTCTTAAAGCGAAATAAAACAATTTCATAAACCAAACAAAATGTTAATCATGCCAATCATAAAACATTGCCTTGCAAAACGAAATCAACGAGGCCACAAATAAATTTAAATTGATTTACAAATGCCATCGCAACGCGAGCTGCAGCAAAAGTTTATGAGAGTCAACAAAAACAGGCTGAAAAACAACAATTTGCAACGTTTGGTGAATGTCCTATATGCCAATTGGTTTGAACACCCCGAAATCCCGATTCCTCGATTCCCGATTCGATCTGATTGATGTATTTTACATACAGCTCTATATGAGATGTATGAGAACAATCGATTTTGATTTTAATTTATTCGCTGAATTTATTGTGTGCACTGAGATCTGAGATCTGAACTGAACTGTATCTGTAATTGAAGTGCGTCTGAATATTTGACGGATGCCGAACTCTGGCTGTGGAATTTTCGAGGGTTAATGTGATTGAAATCCTAGCAAAGGGTAATCCGGTGAGGGCATCACAGCTTTTTGTCTTGTCAAAAATTTGATATTCCTAAAACTGTGCGCAGCTTTTTGACAAAATGAACAGCCCGAATATGGAATCCTTTTAGCCGCCGGAAGAGGCGGAAGAATGGGGCATGCACGTACTGTGCAGCCTTTAATGAATGCACAAGCCAGGGAGAAATTGGCAGAAAATTTATTAAATGCTCACGTATACAAATCCCTTACACAAAACCGAAAATTCCTGCATCTGACAGACGACGCACAAGCGTACACATAGCAATTGTTTTCGCAGAGAACAATAACTTGCACAGGATGCGCTCGAATCTCTCGTCCTGGTTCTGGTTTTGCTCTCGATTCTGTTTCGGATTCGGTTTCGCTGGCTGATGTATGCATAAAATAATCCTTTTATGCTCGGCACAACAATGTCCGTGAAATGCAAAACAATAACAGCACTAACGATAGCAATCCCCTCCCCCCCCTATAGAACCGACCCCTCTTTCAGCATAGGCGTTGCATTAACATAATGCGCAGGCAACTCAAGCACGGCCTCGCCCGCCGTGGCCCACGTGTCGTATGCGCATTGTGAGCGGCGGTGGGTCGCCATATCGGCACATCGCCCATCCGCTGGCAACTGTCGTCCGCAACTTTTGTTGCCATTTGATTTAGATGCCACCCCCAAACAAACAAAGCACAAAGTGCACCTTCCGATACGCCCAGATATTCGATATATAGATATACAGTCGAGCGTATTGATATCGAACAAACCTAGTTTGGCTGGCATAGTTTGCGGAAATGTTTCTTTTTTAATTAAATACATAAAATTGTAATTTCTACTTAAGAAATAAATTGACAAATTTTCAGACCTTGTACATATTTTCACAAAATACTTTAAGTCTCAATCAAACAATTGGAAGAAGAAGTTAAATTATGTATTAAACAATTATTTACCAAGACCGAAAGCCCTAACTTTTGATAAAAATAATTTAAAAAGTATTTTAAATATTCAACTAAGAAATACAAAAGTATACAATATTGAGCAAAAAAGATCAGAAGCTTAAGGAAATCAAATCTGTAAGTCTTGTTTTTAGTTAGAGAACTTTGACTGTTGTGCAAACAGCTCAGCCGATTTGTTTTCACAGACTTTTGCGGCTGATGAAAATGTAAATTCGATGCATTCGAAGGGGGAACTAGATATAAAAAGGATTAGAACTACAACTTGGACAGGGTCTATCCATCCATCTATCTCTGCGAAAGAGTTGCCAGCCGACGAGTAAAATAAATGGGACAGCCATCCCAGCCAGAGTTCAGAGCTCAGCTTGCTTAAGTATATATAATGCCGTCAACTTTTCATTCTCGTGCATTGTACATTACTCTTGCCTTAACCTTAACGAAATATGCCAACAATTTACTTTAAGTTACTTTTTATGTACTTAGTGGCCTGGCTCGGTTATTATTGTTGTTTCGTCCGTCCGCCTCCGTGCTGTTGTTGTTGCTCCTGGCCCAACACAGAAATCCTTTCTTGGACTTCTGCCCAAGGAGCTGAGTGACTAAGGAACTCGGCAACTGGCGTGCGTTTTCAGCTTCTGTTTCTGTTTCAGTTACGGTTTCAGTTTCAGTTTTTGTTTCTGTTTCTGTTTTCAGTTTCGAACTGTGGCCCATAAAATTTATGTTGCTTCATTCCTCAATAATTGCATAGCTCAGTAAATTTTAATGCAAGCGGTCATAAATAATTTCGTTTTGTGTGTTTCGTTTACGTTTTGCGTTTACTTTTGGGCCAGAGCGAAATAAATAACGTATACGCTAAATAACTCTGTCTCAGTTTCGGTCTGTGTGTAGTAGCGAGCGTAGTGGAATAAGTACTATAAGGAATGAACACAAAGGCATTTCCCCACTGGCGTACTACTAAAATGCATTTTTGCTTGATATTTTCTTTGACTGCGACCCGCAATCGGCAATCTGCAATCTGCAAACCGAAACACGACTCCGACTAAATGAACAACAACCCAACCACTGAAATGTAACCCCAATCCTGGCGTGACCCATGCCATCCACTGACCCACAGTTTGCAAAAGCAAGTTAGCGTGATGAGCATGAATCTGTCAGCGAAACTCGATGAGCTGCAGCGGGGAGATCGACACCTGGAGACGACGGTCGCCCTGTGCGAAATCCGCACCCAGCTCCAGGAGCTGACCAAATCTGTGGAGAGCTGCCAGAGCGAAGTGTCCGAGGTGAGTTGGGAGCCGGGATCCATGGAGATATTAACTCACAGAGTGGCGAAATTCTAAGCAATATTTCTTAAGAAACAAAGAGTCTATTAGCTTGCATATAAACTAGTTAAAAATATAAAACAATTACATTTTAATAACACACAATTCTCTAATAGAATGTGAGTTGTGTTTTTGCATTTTAAATTCAATTATGGATAATTAATTCCTAACCATTTAGAACATCTCTATGTATTTCTATTTATCATAAATAAATAGATTATCACACACAACTGAAATAGACAGTGTTGAATAGACTAACATTAGTTATTTATGCAAATTTTATTAGCAATTAAAATATACATATTTACTTGAATAATATTTTAAGCAAGTTTGATAAAATAATAAATGAATGAATATTAATTTTTATAATAGACCCTCAATAGACTAATGTTCTTTAACATTTTAAATATTAATTCACTGTAAATCAAATTATTTTGCAACAAATTAATCTATTGCCAATAATAAGATAATATTATAGAAATAGATATTTAAAATAATAATACTCATTTAGGGAGGGAGACTCTTTCTAGAAGGATTGCTAAGAATGGGGCACAAAGCACATAGCCCCTGTGAATTGTTATCGAAAATCTGAACAAATAAGAATAAAAATATGTTTTACAAAAAAAAAGGTGAAGCGGGACATGGTGGCGATCAAACACGAACTGGACACAGTGCAGCAGGTGAAGGAGGAGATCGAGGAGCTGCGCGAATACGTCGATCGACTGGAGGAGCACACGCACAGACGGAAGCTAAGACTTTTAGAACAAGTTTGTAGCTTAAATTATTTGCCATGTTGTGTAATTAAATACTTGAATTTCATTTCTCTATTCATGTACAAACCGAAACACCAAGAACCAACTACCAACAACCCAGAGCCAGACAACCACACGACCAAACCACCCAAAACCACCCGAACATCCATCCACCCAGCCACACTCAACCACTGACAGCAAAAACTGCTTCCATGATGGGCAGATGCAAACGCTCTTCGAATTGGTTTCAGTTTTTGCTTACACTCAAATGAATTTGTCATAAGGAAAACTAAAGAGATTTTCATGATTTCAACATTAAATTAAACTTTAAAGGACAAATTCAAAAGTCTAAATTAATATGAGCAATTTTATAAATGAAATTTTAATGGTGTAAAATCAGAAAAGATTTATTTGAGTGTACTGCACACGTACAGACGGCTTCTTCATCAACGTATTTTAAAGGAATTTACCAATGTTAATTTGTTTACGTTTTGTAGCGAAAATTAAATGAATAAATATGAAAACTATTTATAAAATATTATTTTTCTTTTATTTCTTTAAAAATAAGTATATGATTTCCTACATCCAAACACTCTCATTCATCAGACTTTATCTTATGGTTTATTTACCTCTGAGTTTCGATTAGAAGATTGGCCTTATCCAAAGAGAAAGCTTTGGTTTCCGCACACTCGTTTGCAAAGCGTTTGATGGACCCGCCCGCACAGCCCCCACCGAATCCCCACCGTCCCGCCCCCGATCCCCCCAGAATTGTTCACCACTAATGGCACTTACCAATCGAACTTTCCAGGGTCTCACCTTCTTCCTCACCTACTCGATTTTCTCGGCGGTGCTGGGCATGCTGCAGTTCGGCTACAACACCGGCGTGATCAACGCGCCCGAGAAGAACATCGAGAACTTCATGAAGGACGTCTACAAGGACCGCTACGGCGAGGACATCAGCGAGGAGTTCATCCAGCAGCTCTACTCGGTGGCGGTCTCCATATTCGCCATCGGCGGTATGCTGGGCGGTTTCAGCGGCGGCTGGATGGCCAACCGCTTTGGCAGGTTAGTAGAATGCCAAAAAGCTGGATTTACATCTTAGGAATGCATTTTGAAATGTTTTCCTCCGCTTTGTATTTGTACCGCCCATGCTTTGATTTTGAAAACAAAATTGTTTTCCTGAATTACATTAGCAAAATACCAGATTCAAACTAAATAAGCCATATGGATTATTAACTTTTATTAGGTATTTTGATTGACCATTAAACATAGTATTAACACCTAATCTTCTTTGTCTGCCTGACAAATAAAATAATACCGATCTTCCCGTTCACCATTTAAATATGCATATTTGCCCATAATGTGCTCTCCAGCCAGCCAGTAATAACGGAAACTATTTTCGTTGCTGATTTTCTTTTTGATCGCGGATAACTCGTCTATGCTGTTGATGACGGATAGCTGGCCGTTCATATCTCGACATTTTTTTTCCGCAGTAAAGTAATCTACACGAATGTTGTTCTCGATGTAGAAGTATCTCGTACCGATTTTCTCGAAATTCGGAGGGACGACTTTCTTCATAATCACTTCCTTTTGCTCCGGCATAGTTGATTTCGCAGCCAGTTGATTTCCAATCTTTGCCTCCATTCCTTCAATTCTATGTAATATTTCCACAATTGTTGTTTGAATTTTATCCATCTGCAAGTGGGTTTTATTAACCAGTTGATTTCCAATCTTTGCCTCCATTCCTTCAATTCTATGTAATAATTCCACAATTGTTGTTTGAATTTTATCCATCTGCGAGTGGGTTTTATTAACCTGTCGCTGAAGCTTAGGGATATTATCAATAAGTGGCATCAAAGCTGAGAGGCAAAAGGCACCGCATTGATTTGGGGCGTCCTTTAGTATGCACTGTGATTCCTGTGACTCAGTCAGGAAAAAGAGGCACAATGTAAGAAGTCCGAATAAAAAATATTTCGCTGATCTGAGCATTTTAAACAACCGCTAGCGACGAGAGCTTCTAATGAACTGATGTTCTGGACTTTCTTGGCTGACTTATATACCGTTGATGGTAAACTGTTATCATGTTCTCTTGAAAAAATATATTTAATTTGAATATGCTTGAAGCGTTTCCGCTAAAATGTGTATATTTTTTAAAATTCTTTTCACTCCTGTTGTACATCCGGCTACAGTTGATAAGAACTTAACAAACAAAATATTTAGGCAAAATGGATATGGAATATCAAAATATAAAAATAACAATAATAATAATATATGAAATAACTTTAATAACTACAGCAATCTATATTATTTTTATCTTTATAATGTTTACTACTCAAATTCTTTATAAGAAAAAAAACTTTTGAAAATTACTTATCAGTTTGAGTTTTATAATATTCAACCCTTTACTTAACTATTTCTTGGTAAACTACAGAAAAGGCGGCTTACTGTTAAACAATGTGCTCGGAATTGCCGGCGCCTGTTTGATGGGATTTACCAAAGTTAGTCATTCCTATGAAATGTTATTCCTTGGCCGATTTATAATTGGTGTTAATTGCGGTGAGTGCTAAGATTGGCTGGACAAAATAAATTGAAATTACGGATCTAATTCGGATTTCTAGGCCTCAACACGTCGCTGGTGCCCATGTACATCTCGGAGATAGCGCCACTGAATCTGCGCGGTGGCTTAGGTACTGTTAATCAATTGGCTGTGACTGTAGGTTTACTATTATCCCAAGTGCTGGGCATCGAGCAGATACTGGGCACCAACGAGGGCTGGCCCATCCTTCTGGGCCTGGCCATCTGCCCGGCAATCCTGCAACTCATCCTGCTGCCCGTCTGCCCGGAATCGCCCAGATATCTGCTCATCACCAAGCAGTGGGAGGAGGAGGCGCGCAAGGGTGAGATATATTAACTATAATGTCAGGATATAAAGTTATGACGATATTGCATATGTTTACTTGTTGAAAAAGCAATAAGCACTTTCGTTGTTTTTTTGTTTGACTATTTATTCATCTATTGAATTAATTTAAAATTGTATTCTTCAGCCCTGCGACGACTGCGAGCCTCTGGCTCCGTGGAGGAGGACATCGAGGAGATGCGGGCCGAGGAGCGGGCCCAGCAGTCCGAGAGCCACATATCGACCATGGAGCTGATCTGTTCGCCCACCCTGCGTCCACCACTGATTATCGGCATCGTGATGCAGCTGAGCCAGCAGTTCAGCGGCATCAACGCCGTCTTCTACTACTCCACGTCGCTCTTCATGAGCTCGGGATTGACTGAGGAGAGCGCCAAGTTCGCCACGATAGGCATCGGCGCTATAATGGTAGGTTTATACATTTTAAGACCAGACTTCGAGATATGCAAGGTATTAATTACTTTCTGCTGATAGAAAGTTAGGAAATATTTTATATAAATTTATTCGCCACTAATCGATTCTATTTATATTTAAATCGATTTGGTTATAAAGTTTTTTTTAAGTAAAAAATATTATTAAGAAAATTACATATTTCCTTAAAAATCCATACAAGTGATTTCTTTTTCTAGTACTCTTTTTACAAAAGAATGAAAATTTTTGTTTTTAAGGTTGTAGTTTGTTTAAGTATCTTTGTTTTGAGACCTGTAAATATTACCCAATCAACTTAGCCTTAATTAAGCTTTAAAATATATATTATCAAAGTATCAAAGTCATAGGAATCGGCTTTCACATAATAATATTGAAATATTATTTCACCCACAGGTTGTTATGACCCTCGTGTCCATTCCGCTGATGGATCGCACGGGTCGGCGGACCCTGCATCTTTATGGCCTGGGCGGAATGTTCATCTTCTCCATCTTCATCACCATCTCGTTCCTGATCAAGGCAAGTATAGGGGTGTCCAGGATGTTTAGCTGCTGCTCCTGTAAATTTGAAGCCCTGCCTGCAAATGTGAATGCTAAAGTGCCTGCCAGTTTGGGTTTGCATTTGTTAATCCCCCGTCCATTTAGTGATTTGCATATGACTCTGAACTTCTAGAGTTGCCTAGAACGTATCCCATACATCCCATATATGTACTCCCAATCGAGTGCGTGTGTTTATAAATATTTGAATATTTATATAAATATTTTATGCATGAAGTTGTGTTTAACCCCGTCGAGCCCTCAAAACAAAAAACCGAAAAAAAACAAAAACACTTTCACTCACACACACACACACACACAGTCAACTTTCACCAACACACAGATACAGAGCATGACAGTTGTCCCGCGCGTATTTCTATAAATTATTGATGTGAGATATATTTGAATTTATAACAAGTTGGATTTATGACTCTCCCTCAGCCATTAAATGTAGTCTCTTTTTTTTTTCTGTGTTTGCGTTGATGCATTGCATTTAAGTCATAGACGTACATGTGTTTAATTTATAGGCCATCACTTGGTCGCTTTAGTTATTAATTATGTCCTATATCTGCGATTTCGAAATATATTTACGCAGATTGTGGCACATGCATGATTAGCTTTGGAATGCTTTGGAATTAGTTGTGTTTATCTATGAATTTATTACGGATTTTATATTTTTTTTATACACTCTTTGCACGTGGCTTGCCTTTAGATATATTTAAGTTTTCAGTTGCCTAGGCTAAGTTGTTGCACCTGAGGGCTGGCCGTAAAATTTGTATGATATAGTCAGGCATTTGTTTTTAACTATGTCACGCATTAAAGAACAACTGCCTGATTTGAATTTCCAACCCGATCAGCCAACTTGTGCAACTTTCCCGTCCCTCAATTAGAGCTATTCTCGACTTGGCAGGCTTTCGCCCCACAAAACACTCACTCGAAATCAGTTGACGAATTCGTTCTGTTTATTATTTATGGCTTTATTTTCGCTAGAAGCAAACCACACAGTTTCAAAGGCAAGCAAAAGTTTTGAAAAAAAAAAACCAAAAAAAAAAAATTCAACACACAACTCTGCAAAAGTTTTTCGGGCACCAGTTCCACCGACTCCCTCAAAATGGAGACAAATAGTGCAGAGCACCGCGCTGAACTCGCTTTGGAGGTCACCACCTCTCACACACGAAGCTCCACAGAAAAACACTCTCAATGTGACCTTAAGCCTTTATTTTATCCTTTTTTTGTTTGGTAATTGTGTAAGATATAGCTAACTTTACGTACCACTAAGCATTCCTAAGCATTCGTTTGCCCCCAAGAAAGACTCGAGCGGCAGTTCAAGGGTCAACTCTTTGAGAACCAAGAAAACGAGACCAGCCAACCACTCCAAACTACTCAAATTACTACTTTCAATAAGCTAACCAACTCATGCATAAAAGAGATTAGGTTTATCAGGGGGGTTGTATGTATAATTTACCCATATTATTTCGGTGACAGTTCGTTAAACGCGAGTAGAGAAAAAAAGCCTACATCGAGAATGCGAGTACTATGCATTTTGTATAGGAGTTCTTTGGTTATGTGCAGGAAATGATCGACTGGATGTCCTACCTCTCGGTGGTGGCCACCCTCGGCTTCGTCGTCTTCTTTGCGGTGGGACCCGGATCGATACCCTGGATGATCACCGCGGAGCTCTTCTCCCAGGGACCTCGGCCCAGTGCCATGGCCATTGCGGTGCTGGTCAACTGGATGGCCAACTTTGTGGTCGGCATTGGTTTCCCCAGCATGAAGGTGAGTGAAACACTCTCCATTTGTATTAATAATATATAAAAAATATAATAAAAAATACTCATTTATAATGAGATCTAGGTTCAGAGCGCCTTTTCCAATCATGCCTTTTTTGTAATCTCTTTCACAGACTGCCCTGGAGAACTACACGTTCTTGCCGTTCAGCGTTTTCCTGGCCATCTTCTGGATATTCACGTACAAGAAGGTGCCCGAGACCAAGAACAAGACCTTCGAGGAGATCCTGGCCCTCTTCAGGCACAACAACGGCAGGTATGTGGCCCTTTCATTTCCTCATTTCCCAGCTCAAATTCTGCACACGAATCATGGCAATATGTCGAATAGTTCCTCAGCTCTCATAACTTGAAATCAATATTTAAGCAAACACAAGAAACGTTAAAACCACAAACTAGAAAACAAAAATACGAATCTGTATACTCTGCCGTCGATTACCATTACTTGGAAGTTTATTATGCGGTTTGCATAGTCACTGATCCGCTGAACCGAGCTCTTCGGATCGGTTCAGGATTCAGAAGTTTTTCGTTCTTTTTCGTTTTAAAAAATTTGATTTCTCTTCGGTTTTTAACGCACCATAAGTTCGCAAATAACTCTCTGACTTGAACTACGTTCCATGTATGCCCCAAGGACCTTTCGAGATAGTAGACTGTACGGGTAAGTTGCATGAAGCCGCCGAAGAGGAACGATCCGACTCTTAAACTCCGTATCTAAATGCCCCCACAATCAACAATCCGATCCGATGCGTTTCGCTCTTCAAACTTCCACCTTTAAAATGTAGCTCGTATTGCTGTACTTTATTTAGCCACTTTATGTACAATTTTTAACCGATAAAAAAACAAAAATCAAAAAAACGAAAGTTAACCGAATCGAAATTGTGAATTCCTGCGCTCAAAGTTTCTATGAATTTTTCGGCATGTTTGCTTAACTTTGCCTGTACTTTGTTACGACTCGTTACTTTGTTACTACAACTACAACTACAACCCATAAACAACTGGCTGCCGTAAAAGCGAACTAAATAAGACTCATACTAGCCAACTATATAAATACCCAACTATTTAATATCAATTTTAATACTCTACTCTCCAACTCTCTCTCTCTATGCATAGCTATACCGTTACCTATACTTGCTACTATAATTAAGAGTCGCCACCTCATCTTTTTCTGCCCCCCATGTCACGTCATCTGAAATATCAGAATCAGAATCGCTCTCATTGCGCCCCGATCCCCTCATCGATCATTAACTAAAATAAATTGGTTAGTTTACAGTGGTCCACCCATAAACCCACATCATATGTTCATATATGACCCCCCTCCCCCACGCACACAGCCACACCACACGCACACTGATTTATGTCCCGATTTTCGACCATATAGCGAGGATAATGCCAACGAGAACAGTGGCACCACCGCCGACATTGAGTTGTCGCAGAGCGAGTTCGATGGCAACGGCAAGAGTTCCACGCACCCCAAGGCACAGTGAAGCCCCGCTAGGAAAGACCAGCCCAGACAGACACCCACCACCTCGTCCGACCCCTCCAACTTCTAACTTATAGATATCAAACCACCTTCACTCATAGCAATTCTTGGAAGATTCTGGGACGGAAGGCGTGGGAGCCATACTCCAATTAATTACTAGTGCTAGTTTAAATCAATTTAATTTCACGTTATATGTTTGGTTACAAATAAATGTTATTTTATTACCATTTTTATTTGATTTGGTTTTTTTTTATTCTTGATTTTGAAGCCGCGCCTAATAACTTCCAAGCAGCCTCGAACTAATACACAAAAACCGCTACAGAAAAAACCTCCACTTCAAATGTCAAAGTCAGAACTCTTTTTTCGGTGTATCTCTGAAACAATAACAACAACAACAACAAGCAGAACCCAGACAAAACTCTCGAAATTGCTCTCATTAGTTGCAAAGAAATTAAATTTACCAAATACGTTTACACTTAAAACATAATCGTAGAGTGTGCGAATTTCAGGAGTATGCTAAACTGCACAAATAGCTTGGAGCCACAAAGTATGAATTCTGGCATCGAGCATGCCGCCTTGATGGTATCTGAGGAGAAGACCCAACATGACTCACGTAAGAATCCAAAACACGCCAACGTTCCACCTAGAACACCCGAATCCTCCACATCCTCATCCTTCTGATGTCCTGTTAACCGGAAATCCCAAAAAACCACAACCACACACCTCGATTGCGTTTCAGTTTCACTTCCAGTATCCGTTTGAGTTTTTAATTTCCTCGTTATTTGTTGTGTAAATTGCTCGAATCACACATCCAATATTTGCATATCCATATACACAGGTTTGTGAGGCAACACACAAGCCAGCAATGTCCTCTCGGTAAACACACAAAAAAACGAACCCTAATTTTGAATAACTTGTTAACTGTTTAAACTCCACAAAGACACACAATCAAACAAAATGTATCTATGTAAATTGCCCTATAAAACGACACTTGTTCAACGTGTCGCATAATTAATTTTTTGTTTGACAAAACCGAAAATATACCCCAAACACCCTAATTGAAGTCTGAAGGGATATAAAAACACAAAAAGGAATTTACATTTTTACATATTTGTGATATTTTGAATTAACTATTATTTTTAAATCTTTTATAAAAGTGACTAAAAGTATAGTTTGAAGATAGATTTTCCGCTTTTGTTTATTTCCGGAATAAAACAAAAATATATGTAACGATTTTTAGATCCCTAAAAATATAACATGCAAATCAAAACCTTGAACCCTTTTATTTTCTACATATTAAAATCGAATTAGTTACTTATATTTTTCCATCACACACCTATACACTTTTACGAGCAATTGTTTTATGTTTTTGTATTACAAAATAAATATTGCATTGCCCCGATCCATTCAAAATCTCTTACTAACCTCAATCATCTCCACTCATTAATATTAATATGTGTATCTATAAATTTCCGACTGTTATTGTTTGCCTAGACTTTTCTGAATTATAGTTTGGAATGCCACCATCTTGTGACTCTTGTCCTGATTATCTAGCTGCTTGTTATTGTAGAAATTCGATCTATACTGTTCTATTCTAATCTGTAACTAAAAACTGATGCGAACGCTCGCGTCTTTCTGAATAAATTAACTATCTTGCATTGTTTATTTCCATTCGGATTTATGAATTGTGTTTTGAATCAAACAATTTTAAACATTGGAAACCTATCAATCAATCGATCAAAATCAACCATCAACTGGACCCAATACACACGACCAACACTCAACTATTGTATGTAACCAAATCGACAACAACAACAACAACCAATATTGGCGACTATCTGATCTTGCATGAAATGAAATAACAACAAAAATCGAGAAATCCCTTGCCGTACTTTTGTAATAATCAAGTGTTTGGTACGACCTCGTTTTCCCTGACGGTTGAAGGCATGGGTCCCTATCCGCTGAGCGATAGCACCAATCTCCTGGGTCCCGGATCGAGCAACTATGGTCCGGGTGGAGTCCTTGGATCCGGATCCGGATCGGGTCAGTGCTACACGAATTACGGCACCAATCTGCAAACGCCGCAGGCGCCTCGAAAGTGCCACTACGACGAGATAGACGACTACAATTTCCGACGCCATTCGGCGCACGGCAGGATGTCATGTAGGTTGACCCAGCACCGCCTAAATAATAAGCCACCACAACCAAGCTAGTCAGCCACTGAGCCGCCACGCAGCTGAACCACTGAACCACTCAGCCACTCAGCCAATCACGAAAAGCATTTACGTGAAAATGCCCAAAAAACCAAATGCACCCAGTCGAAAATATAGCTTGTAAATCAATATATAGTCGTTAATAACCAACTAGGCTAAGGCTCAAGCTGACGCTAAAACGAACCAAACGACAGTTCGGATCTGATGAATCGTAGTTTATATTGTTTTCCTTTCGTTCCTTTATAGTACGCAAGTGAAGGGGAAACTACTGAACTTGGGACCAACTATCAAAAAGAATCAAGCGAACCGATTGGCTAAGTAAAGAAAAGTCGCACCACTCTCTGAATACAAAACACACACACCAGACACTCAAATCACCCACTCGCTCAAAGATCAGAAAGAAAAGTGCCAATAATGCGATTAAACGAATACGAAAATATTTTAGGAAATCAACTTTCAAAGCAGTTAATACACACATTAAACACTAATTTATCCAACCTTGAAACATCTGTATCCAAAAGCATTAAAAATCATTTTTTATTTTAAAACTCAGCCAATTAAAACACAATTGTTCATTCTCATGCTTCAATAAAAAATCCACTAAGTGTAGAATAGTTTTTAAAATATAAATTTTCAACAAAAAAAACTATAATTGGCTAAAATTTAATGAATTACAGCTGTGGTATAAAGTTTAGATTTAAATTAATACAAAAAAGGATGTCCCTTTAGTTCTTTTGCCTTTTCCACAGCTGTCCAAAAAAGTATGCTACAAAAAATGAGAAATAAAATCATTCAACCAATTCATAAATTAATTAATCAATCAATCAGACCATCAATAATGCAGCCCTTTCGACTTCATCAACGCCATGTGAAAGTTGTGTTTTGTTGGTTTTTATTGACTGTGCATGACTGTTTGCAAGCGATTGCAAGCGATTGCAAGCGTTTTTATCGCCCCCCTTCAATTGCATGCGTATTATTGGCATGGACTTTTTGCATGCACTGTTTTTAATTAGCAGCAGTAGTGAATGAATCGCAGCTAAATCGCCCGAAAAAAAAAAAAACAAAAACACCAGCCCGCTAATAAATTAAGTACTAACGAAGCAGAGTAAGCAACAATTTGGCCCGCCGTATTAATTGCTTTTTTCGTATTCTCGACTTTGGTTCTGTTCTTTGTTTTTTGTTTTTCGCCACCATTTCGCTGGGCAGCTGCATCCGAGCGATTTTTAGAAGGCGGCCGAAGTACACACCAGGGCCGGAGCGCTGCCTCTGCGCCCCATCACCCTCGTCAGCCTCCACCTGTCTGCCCGAGCAGCGGGCCTTGACTGAGGAGCGCCTCGCCTCCTGACTCTGCCAGTGTTCGTTCCACGAGTCGCGCTGAGGAGCCGCCTAACCGCCAGCAGCTCCACCACCAGCCGCAGCCGCATCAGCAGGTGCACCACCAGTCCCGCTATCCCACACACGAATACGTACACTGTAGCTATGAGAAGGAAGTCGTTTGTGATCAGGCCAATCCCTTGCAGCAGCCGGTGGCACCGCCAGTACAGCCACCGCCCATATCGCACCACTGCCAGCAGCAGCAGCAGCAGCAGCGCAAGCATAGCCATAGTCCGCACCACAGTCGCCACACCTCGCCGCACTCGCCGCACCACCCGCCATCCGGCACCCAGCACCACCATCACTCGCACCACAGTCGCCACCGGAGGAGGCGCCAGGGCAGTGGCAGTCTGCCCGGCGCCCACCAGGCCTCGGCCAACCACTCGGTGGTGCGTGCCCCCATCTGCACCAGTCGTCGCCACCGCTCGGTGACGGATATATCGCTGAATGCCTGCCAGGATCCGGCCTGTTCGGATCGGGAGGTGCAGGAGATACTGGTGCGGCGAACCTGCTGCAACACGGCCACCAACAGCTCCTCGCGCACCGAACTGGCCCAGTGTTTCGCCGAGGAGCTCTATGGCTCCTCCCGTCGGCCGAGCAGTTGTTGCACCAGTTCCGACTACTGCTATCAGACGGATTCGACGAGTCTATATGGCTCCCGTTCATCGCTGAGTCGCAACAATTCGATTAAGTCCGCATCGGCGGTGGTGCGCAAACATCACAGGAGTCAGAGGAGCTTGCTGCCGGAGCATCGCCAGCCCAGTTACACCTCCATATCGTTGAGGGGCCTGAATGCCAGTCGCCCCAACAGCCAGTTGGGCTCACTCACTTCCATTTTCGATCGGGCCAAGAGCATGGCGCCCGAACAGGGATCCACACTCGAGCGTCAGAGTTCAAAGGGCGCCCTGAGCAGCACCGAACTGCCCGAATACGCCTGTTCGCCCTCGCCCATCCGCTGGAGTTTCCTGGCCGATGGCCGATCGCCCTCCGAAATGGAGGGAGCTGTGGGCGGAGGAGGTGGCGCCGGGCAGGAGGAGGAGGAGGAGGAGGAGGAAAAACTGGATGCGTGGCAAGTGCCCGAGCCGGAGCCCGAAATGAAGCCGTGCAGGAAGATCACCAGTAGTAGCTCCGTTTATGATGAGGGTCCCAGCACTTCGGCGGCAGCTGCCAGGAAGCGACGCGGAAGCAAAGGAAGTCGGGGCAGCAAGGGCAGTGGCAGCTATCATTGCGAGTTCGAGGATGAGGCCACCACCACGGTGATGTTCCATCAGGATGCCGGCGAGGCGTACAACAACTGCTGCAGCAACAACTACAACTACATACAGTGCAACAGCTACTTGGATCAGGACCTGCAGATCACCAGCGAGGACATTCATCAGTATCTGTCGAAGGGCGATGCCACAGCCAGCGATATCCTGAACAACTCGAAGAACTATCCCTTTCAGCCCTCGAATGCGTTAGAGTTTCAGTACAAGAATAATTTCCAGCAGGGTCAGAATGCGAATAACAATAATACCAATACCACGAATACGGCTTCGAGTGATGCCGCCGAGTGTTTCCAAAGCTACAGAGCCAGCTCAAAGGAAACGAATCTGAATCAGAGTTCCACGGAACAGCTCTCGCCCACAGATATTAACCTGTCGACGAGCTCGAACAATATCAACATAGTGTTTAGCAGCAGTCTGGAGCGGAATGCCAACGAGGTGAAGTTCATAAACAACCGAAGTGGAGGTGGTGGTAGTGGTGGTGCAGCTGGCAACTCCGAGGTGGGTTGTGAGGGCCATCATGCCGGGTATTTGCCCTACACCTATCCCAGCTATGATTACACGAACATGTCGGGTAACTCCCACTTCGACAAGCCTTTGGGCATTGACGAACTGCCCAAGGAGTTTGCCGGGGCCGGGGGACTAGGAGGTGGTGGTGCCTCCACCACCAGTGAGCACTCCTCGTCGCTGCCATCGCCACAACCACTGACGCACCACCAGCAGCTGCACCACTTCGAGTCCTTCGACGCCGCCTCCGAACATAACTTGCTGGCGCAGCCCATGTCCCCGGGATCACCGCTTTCGGGTTCTGTAAATCCCGCTGGGGATGACTTTGTGCAGATGCATCACTACCATCACGCCACCTCACCACCGCACTCACAATCGCACCCGCACCACAGCCACACCCACGCCCACGCCCATGTGCACCACCTGCTGAGCCACCCGAGCTCGTCGCACCACGCCTACGATCTCACCGAGGAGCAATTCCGGTTGGGATCGGCCCTCAAGCGAGTGCGCAAGCGAGCACGCAAGTACACCGACTTCCTGCGCAAGAAGTGAGCGGTTCCAGGACTCACTGCATCCTGCATTCCGCCCCGCCCCCCTTTAGATTCACCCTACTTCGGGCGCAAGTATCTGGTGGTCTCGAAGCGCCGATCGCAGAGCCTGGACGAAGACTAATCTAATGTGGCGACTGGACAAGCAATAACTGAAGCAGCGGTGATGGACGGCCGACCGAGAACCATATTTAAAATTAATTACAATTTTTACACTGCCAAAAAAGTTAAGAAAATTAAAGTTAATTTTGTGCTAAGCCAAAAACTCTGTTTAAAGCGAGGATCACACAGAAACACGAAAAGAACACACATGCACAATGGGGAGAGTGGATTTTGAAGGGTACATAAATCGGGAATATTAACTTAAGACCATGGGGAGTTATAAATATTTTTCTTTCGAATTATAGGGGTTACCTCTTCGAATTACAATAGAAAATCTGAAATAATAAAGAGACCAGATAGAAATAGCAAATGACCTATGAATATCGGGGTTTCTTAAATTAGAAAGGTAAATAAAAGATAATACCACAAATATAGTTAAAGGAAATAATTTATAGTTTTTGAAGAGATCATTTTAGAGCCTATAATTATGATTACCTTTGATAAATTCACTCCCCCAAATGCACAAATCACACATACGAATCACATCAGCTGCAAACACAAGAGGAAGAAGAACAACGACTATTTTAAATAATGAAAAGAAATACTTAAGCTAACAGTGCGTATACATAATAAATACAAGCGATAGGAGAGGAGAACATTTGTATATTCAACTTAAACATTAAGCGAAGGTTTTGAATTTGCATATTTAAATTGACTAAACCCATAAACATAGTTAAGAGCCAAGGCAAATGGAAATAATAATGCACACCTACTCAAGCCTAGATGATAGAAAAACCAATCCAACATACCAGTTAAAGCTAGCTATAAGGATGCGATGGATCAGATCGGAGCAGCGCCACAAGATTTAGAGTTTCAGCAACCGCATATGCAACAGCAACTGCAACTAATGAATAATATTAACCATTAATTAACAAACAAAACAGAAAGACAACAGCAACTGTAGTTTGGCACACTAAAGGCAAAATGTTTAAAGTTTAAAAGAACAAAAAAAAGAGTTAAGATTACAAAGAAAAGTGAGAGTTTTGTTAGCATTTATTTGATATGCGCGTTTTTCAGGGACTGCTTGCGATTTTTGTATTAAAGCAATAAGCCGTTTTGCTCAAGGATTAAATACGTTCACGTTTTTTTCCCCAACCCAACAATCTTTTCAATTTTATCGAGATTCGTTTCAAGTGTATTATCCCCAACAACTGTCTTCCAATTATATTTTCTAGTCGTATCTCTCTATAGCCTCAGTTGCTTTCAAAAACCTAAATAACTAAATGTAAACTAAGCACTCCAACCTAATTTAATAGCCGTTGAATCAGACGTACCTTGCGTGAGAACAAAACGAGAAAATTGTAAATAACTGCTGTTGATTAATTAATAACCTAATTTACGAGTAACTAACTAAATGAACTTAATTTGTAGTAATTAGCCGAGGCGAATCATTATGAATTAGTGAACCGAAAATAATAAATATAAATGCACTGCCAAAAACAAAGGTTTTAAATAAATGAACAACAAAACAAGAACAAGATCGAAGTAAGAGACGATGTTCGCAAAACCAAATCGAAAATGAAAACTGCTGTAAATATAAGAATGAATACATATAGAGAAATCATAGACATTTTTTAAAGGCACATTAATTAACGAGGAGCATGCAATTTGCAGATTTTTTACATTATTTTAATGAACTAAGCAAAACAATAATGAGTTAAACGGAATAACGAAACCAAAACAAACAAAATTTAAAATGCAAAGCGACCGCGCGATTTTGTAACAAAATCAAAAGACAAAATGTTAACATTGCGTAAAGTTAAATCAAGAAAAAAAGTATAGACATAAAAGCAGACAAAAACACAAAATGGTAAAAACAACTCAAACACGGCACCGGAAACGGAAACGGAAACGATACCGACTATTTGGTTGTGAGTTCGATCCGATAACCGGACTGGTCTTAAGTTGTGTGCACTACTCGAACTGTAAATAACAGATCAGAAGCCGTAACAATTAGCCGTAAATACCACCCCCAAAAAAAAAACAAAAAAAAAACGGACGGAGTTAAAGACATTATCCAGTAATAGGAAATCGACTATGGAGAATATCTAAATCCAAGGCAAACCCTTTTTCAAGTTCACGTAGCGAAGACACAAACTTACCCCAAAGTTACCCAAAAGACCCATGAATCGAAAGGATTTCGGTCCAGGGGCACGATAATCACACACCAAAAACCAAAACCAGCTGCAAGAATTAGCGAGAGATGCCGTTTGAAATATATAGCTGAATTAACACAATTAACAATGACATTATACCCTAGCGGTTTTTTTTACATGTTTGTACTTTAGTTGGTGGTTCGGATATGTTCTAGCATTTGTCATAGCCACATATAGTTGTGTACATAACTAGTTAAAATTGTGCATACTGAACGGTTATCTTAAGTATATAAATACACGCAAAGGTGAATATTAGAGAGTCCCCTAAAAGCTAAACACACTCAAAAAAAACCCGATACAGACTTGACACGGATTAAAATTCAGATACACTAAGAATCGCGAGCCCCAATTTAGGGGCTGCGAAGGACAATGCGCGGAAAGTAAAGCGAAATAATAATTATATTATTAATATACAACAATAAACTTGAACCTAGGTATATGATTCTGAATTTAAATCATTTTTAGTTTAGCAGAACAAAGAAACCAAAAGCAAAAATGGAAACTCTAAACACTTGAATGAAATTAAAAGACAACTTATTAAAAATACAAATAAAAATTGATGAATTAAGTAAAATAAATTGCTCAATTTAGCAGAGAGTATAAATAAAGAATTATACGTTAAGTAATAATTTCAAAATACACACTTGACTTATTTCTGGGAATGGCAAGGTAATTAAATACACCAAAAAATAAACAAACAAAAAAATAAAATAACATTCTTAATATATTGTAATTTAGATTTCCTTTTTTTTCCCTGATAAAAATATTTTCTTGAATTTTACTATTCTAAATTTTGATCTTACTGTTAAGATCTAATATGTTTTACTTATTTACATTAGTAAGTGATTTTAATTAATACATTATTTAAATAAATTTTGCAGAAACTTAAATGACAAAAACAATATTAATTTTTTGACAGAAAAAACTTTGTATAAAAAGTTATAATTTTTTTAAATGAAAAGAATGCGTATTTTTAAATAAATAAAATAAATGTGTGCTACAAAAAAAGGATGATTTGCGAGCACTGGTTGCGATACTCATCGATATGCAGGATTGTTGTGCGCATGTCCAGGATGTGTCAGTTTTCGGTGACAGTTCTCTGGGCTTCAAGTGTATATACCGTACCTTTGATGGGGGTGTCTAAACGAATTGGATAAAATGAAAATCTTAAGCATTTAAAATGCTTACCGCCCTGCGTCGAAAATTTCGGTTTGGAATGCAGCGCACGGTTTTAATTGCGGTCCTGCTGGCGGTGGGCATTTTCAGCTACGCCTTCCTCAACCTCAAGTTCTGCTTCAAACTGATGTCCCACCGGAGCCTCAACTTGATGGTAAAATAGTCATTTTATTTTTTATTTATGTGTTTAATAAAAAAATACCCTTACCCTTAATCAGTGCCAGAAATTCGAAAAACATGAGTACAGCGGCGCTCTGTGTGAAGAACTTTGTGGTTCGCAGTCTTCCTTCGACAACTTCCAGTGTCCACTGAATGATATGAAAACTATACTCTTTACGGCCGAGAAGAATGGCGATATGTATGCGGTGAAGGTAGGTCGGGAGCTTCGGGTTTGGCTGTGACTACTTCACTACATCCACTTTTAGCTGGCCCGGCATAATGATGACGAACTGAGCTGGACGAACAGCAAAGGGGAGTCCATATATCCCAAGCTCGAGGAGTTCCATGAGATCGTAAAGCTGCATATCATACTGGCCTACAATGTCACCCTGGATGATAATATGGTAAGGCTCTGGGAAAAGTAAATCAACATAAATATTTGTCAGCCTAAGAACATGCAAATAACCATAGACTTCGTTTCAAAAATGCATTTATAAGTACGAAACTGGTATTGCAATAACTTGATTACATTACTTACCTGTAGATCCGCGCCTTGGTTAACCAGGAAATAGCCGATGATAATTCGCAGCAAATGGTTAGTTTCTGGAGACTGTTCAAGGACAACAACTACATGATGGGCAAGCTCTTCGACGAGGAGTCCATATTCCCGGCAGTTCTGGGTTCCTGTGGGCCCTACTATGCCACAGAGGGATTGCAGATCGTGCAGTCGAACCCCAGCATAATGCAGTATCTGTGGGTTATAAGTTATACTCCTAAGTCCCCTTGATTGTGAACGTTTATTACACTTGCAGGGCCTCCAATCGCTTGCAACGGCTGAAGCACGCCCTCAACATTATGGAATACATTTTTCGGCTGGACGAAATGAAGCCGGAACCTCTGAAAATGTGCAAGATGCAGGTGAATCGCTTTGGCACCGCCTCCGAGCGAAGGTTGAAGTACCAGAGTGCGGAGCACGTCTATGTGGAGAGCCAGCTGGACAAGCGGCTGTCGAGGGGCGTCAAGTGCCACGCCCAACAGGACTGCCACTTCCACTCGTGCAGGGGCATGTGCGACGAGGATAGGCAATCCTGCACCCACATCCAGCAGAACAACAACTTCCAGATATTCTGCGAGCACATCCTCCTGGGCGGAGGAACCTTCCAACCGGGTCTCCTCAGCGGAGTGCGCCTCTCGAAAGCCCTCCAAAAGCTGGTGAGGATGTGCGTGCAGCCGCCCAAGGAGCATCAGGTGCCAGGACGCCAAATGGCGCCCAATATGCAGCTCGCCTTGCGGCTCTACAACGAGCTGAAGCAACTGCACCAGGCTGCAGCTGCATCCGCAGGATCAGGATCAGGATCCGAGATTCCCGACGAGGGACAGGCTCGCCGGGGAGTCTGAAAGTCTGAAAGTCTGCGAATCCGACGAGTCTGGAAATCGGCTGAGGGTAGATCAATTGGCGCACAGCATGCTCAAAACTGATAGCATTTTTACAACTAGTGTTAATTTATTAAACCCAAATAAAACAGAAAATGCTTTTAACTGATTAAAACCAATACAAGATTATAAATTATAGTTTTTTTTTTCATCCATAACAAGAAAACATCTCGAAAGACTTGAAAGCCATTTAATAAGTTTAAATTTAACTTGTTAGAAACCGAAACAAAATTTCTGATAACTTGTGTAGCAGAAATGATATTATGGACTTTAGTTTCGTTTTATTCAAAGGCAAGAGTTGGCCAGAGTTTTCAAAAAATTAATATTATTATTATTTTACATTTATATGATATTATTGGCTTCGAAAATGGCGCAACTTATATTTCTCGAAACTACTTTAGTTTCTTTACCTGCTAGAAAAAAAGTTTAAGTGGTATGTTGTGTTATTGAAATACTTTCATAGACATTCGCGGAAATTGAAGTTATAAGTAGAGTAAAGGGCTGTCCATATATTACGTCATCATAGCATTGGCTGATGTATTTGCGATAAATTATTTCTATGTAATGATCTAAATGATCATAATAAAACTTGATTACCCCTAAAATAACATTGGTTATAAGAAGAGACACCATCTATCAAAGTAAACAGTCCATACGTTATCACTCATACCAATCCATATCTATGGATTCAGAGTCGTCGGATTCTTCATCACAAGAACTAGTTTCTACTACCTCATAATGGGGTTCGTATGAATAGGAAACATTCAAGTACGCCTCATCAATCTCTTCTACCTGCAAGCAGAATATTCGTAATAACCGGCCAGTTAATATAATTATTATACTTACATGAAATTTCAAAAAAGTCGATTTTGGAAATATAGTAAGATTCACCGGTTTTTGAAGGGCACTATTTCTTACAGATTTCAAAATATTGTTCACTTCGCTCACAAAGTTTAAAGCCACCGTCCCCCAATATAGAAATTTCAATGTGACGCAATCAAGCATTAGACAAGATTGAAAAATCGGCAATAGGCTATTGCTATCTATTCCAGCAAGATCGTTTTCCACTATTTGCAATGACTTTAGTTCATTTAGTTGACCAAGGTCTGACAAGTTGTTGCACGTTTCTTTGTAGTCAATATGTAGTTGAATAAGCGATTTAATTTGTGATATTTCACGAATCTCATCGGAATATCTAATTGGTGTATGCAGCTCTTGTAAAGTGGACTTACTTTTAAGTCCAAAAGCCCGGTAAAATTCACTAAGCGAGTCCTTTGCGTCAGAGATGATTAATTCTTTTAGACTTTTTATATTTACCAATACTTCTATGCCCGTCTCGTTGTGCAACTTGCACTTCAAGGACTCCAAAGCTTCAAGTTGGCTCAAATATTTACATTCACTGAATCCAATGAAATCATTTAAGTCCAATTTTCGAAGAGTAGATGGTGATTTGTGAGCCAAATCTCTCAAAGGATTTACTAAAGGGTTAATTTCGTTTTCACTAAATTGTTCAATTTCCAAGTGCTCTAGATGGGGTAATCGAACTAAATATTGAGCACATTCTGAGTTGACGAATTTTGCATTCAATTTTTTAAGACCAATTATCTTAGAAATTTCAGACATTTCTGCAATATCAATGGGTTTGTTCCTTATTTTCAGTTGCTCCAGCCGAGTTGTACTATTTGAAGAAAATGCGGCAAATAATTTCTGTAGGGAATCGCTTGGATTTGATATGTTTACGATCAATTCTTCAATACTGGAGTTCGATAGTTCTGACAAGGATTGTATATCTTCCAAGTCAGAAAAAAAACAATCTAGTTTTTTCAGTGAGTTTATTCGGGAAACCTTTATAACTTCTTTGGGGACGAGTTCTTCGAAATAACGAATGCTTTTAATTATATTCTTCTTAGCTAGTTTAGTAAAAAGTGGGCTTAGATTTCCTTTTCCAGATATGGTCAAATCCTTAAGATTATTCAAGTTGGCCAATTTTGCAATTCCAGTTAGATTTAAAAGGGAGCACGACATTATCTTAATGGTTTGAATTTCTTCCACGTTTGAGATATCTTTGAATCTTGTTCTTTCCAATTTACTTATTCGTAATTCTTCTATCGGACTTAAACTGTTGGTGGCGAATGCTTTCAAGAGTCCATTTACTGGAATAAGAAATCTCCATCCTGAGATTTCGAGGATGTTAACGCCCGTAAGTTGGGCAAGAGGAGTGAGAAAATCGGAATTAGGCCAACCTTTTAACCAAATCTTCAGATGTTTTTCCTTCTTGTTTAAGGTAATATGAAAATCTTCGCAAATGATGGAGGCTTGCACATGACATGCGGCAAGCAGATTGGGGATATGTCTAGAAGTATTGTTATCAATTATATCGCGTCGGACTTCAATTTGCAGATGTTGCATGTTGGTTAATTGATTTAGAGACTTGATTAAATTCCAGTCAGAGAAATAGCACCCCAAAAATCGAATTGATTCTATTTTTGCAAGTTCTATGCACTCTACTTCATTTACGGTTTGATAATTTAATTTTACTGATTTTAATGCAAATGACCCATTTGGGACCATTGATTGGAGAAAATTTGCAATTGTGTTAGGATAATTTAAGAAATTACATTTTTTATGTATAACTAGGCGATTTAAATCGGGTAGCTTTGATAGAGCGCCCATTTGGCTAATGTCCGATTTTTTATGTAGCTTTATCACAAGCTCTTTCTCACATCGGTTATAGGTAAATCCTACACTTTCGCCCACAGTTATTGTTACTACAGACTCCTCAATTGAATTACTGTTCTCCAACATTTGATTTAAATCGTACTCGCATCTAATTATACAACCATCTAATATTAAATCCCCTTGGCTGAACTTATAAGCTTGGTATATCTTGAAATGTTTTAACGAGTCAGAAATGGCAAACGTAATCGGCTGACGTTCATCGCTTATAGAATCTTTGATGATCAGTGTCAATGGTTGAAGATTTTTAGGTCTGTGCCATTTTTTTAAATCATTACAAAATTGCACTAGAGAACCACTTGCTTGGATTCCCGAGAAACCAAACGTTTTTAAATTGGGTAACTTCGCCAGCGATGCAAATTGGGCAGCACAGCCTCCAGAGCTTAATGTAATTCTCAGCTCCTCAAGATTTTCGCAATGGGGTATTGTATGGGGGAGACTTCCATGGATTACAGAACTATCCAAGACCAACTTTCTCAAATTCGGGATGGAGGTGCAGATGTCAATTAATTCTTTCCCAGTAACATTAACACTTATCATTAAGTCCTCGGTGATTGTAAGGTCCGTAGAGATTTCTTGAAATAAAATCAGTTCGAAATTTATTGATAAAAGGAAATCTTAAGATCCTAACCTGAAATTATAAGGCTTATCTATCTCACAAATGCATATCCGGACTATGACTTACCTTTTGTCTTAATGATTACGTCTTTTTGATGCCCAAAATATAGTTCAACGTTGAAATTTATTTTTTCTCTAATATATTGCAGGTGAGATCTCCAGAAAAATTCGTTTTCGTTTGATGATTCATTAGCGCGTAAATCTATTAGCAACTTTGTGATCCTACACGCAAGATCTAACTGAAGATCCTCGTACAAAAGTTTGTGATAAGCTTCAAACAGTTGCAGGAAAAATTCATGGGCCAACACAAAGCTAATTAAATCATCACCATTAATCAGAGACCATTGTTCGATTCTTGGCTCTTTCAACTTGCAATTACTAATCACGTATTTCATTATTTCCAAAAGACAGTAGTGGTCAAGAATAAATTCGCCGTTTTCGTCCATTTTGTTAGACCGGTAAGCTTTTCGACAAGTTCTATTAAATAAAAGATAACATATGAATAATATTATTTAGTAATTGATAAGGCAATAAGAAATGAAATCATTAAAATGTTTCCGGATGACCTAAATATTCTTATATATGTATGTATTTTTGACAATCAACAAAGCTGTTCGTCGTTCTGAAACATTGTTTCTGTGATTCTTAAGGAATGAACATTAATGTTCAAATATACAGTAAAACTCAAGTAAAAAAAATTGGTTACTTTACATCCTTTTATTTAAATTTTTTAAATGTTTTTTTTTTTAACTCAAAGGCAAGATAAAAAATTAAAGATTTGAAAATATTTCAGATTATGTTAAAGTTGCCATGTTAAATTCGCTCGGTAGAGGCTCGACTGTACCATTTTTCAGATAAGAGTAAAGATGTATACATATACATAAGTAATTATGTAGTAATTAATGTATAAAAATAATGAGCATGGCTTATCATCAACATTTTTTAAACAGCAACGCGTTACACCGTCTATAACTTCGGAAAAATTACTCGGATAAATCTAATAATACGCACTTTTTTGTTTTTATTAAATTATAACTTAATTTTTAGAATATTACAGAAAAAACCAAATAAATACCTGCGCACCGTGGATATTTTTAAAAACTTTGAAACTCTAACCAAACCCCTAGAGTTGGATGCTATAGTTCCTGATCACTTATTAAATTTCGAAGCGGACGGGTTGAGCTTTTGTCGCAAACTGCTTAATAGCCGATAAACAACATGCGAATTATCTCCCTCTTATTTACCATTCACCTACTAAAAACGAATGTAGTGTTGAAAAGCACCCAACTATGAGCGCAAAATTTAAAACTTATTTTAAAATATTTAACGTATTCTGAAAGTTTTATTTTAATTCAAATCTTGCCATTGCAAAACTCGCTCTAGCTTGCTTTCAAGCCTTCTTACACATTAATTTTGGAATTCTTTCTCAGAAGACGTTCACTTGTTTTTGGTTGACAGGGGATTGGAGAGCATAAAGATAAGGTCGTTCTGTTGTTGCAGGATCTTGTTCAGCATGTCACGCCATCCCGCGTAGTTCTCCGGCGACGCCGCCTGGCAGATGATCGTCATCTCTGGGATCTTGGGGTCTGTCGACTTGATTTGAAAGCGGCAGTCGCCCAGTTCCTTCATTTGCATGTGATTGAGCTGGTGGGGCGAGACGGATATGTTTAGCCATTAAGAAGTTTAAAATACAATTTGATGCTTGACTTAAAACATTGGAATATATTAGCATCCTTACATTTATTTAGTAATGGTAATTAATTATGACTCATAAAAACAAATTCTTACCTGTATGTGCGATCGGTATTCAAATGTGGGGCTGGAGAACTGATTCTTGGCTTTCTCAATATCGGCAAAGATGATGATCTGCTGGAAGAGGAACACCTGGAACTCGCGATGCTTCTGCGAAGCATCCACCAGGCAGTTCATGGGTCGCTGCATCAGCAGGCTGCCTTGTGCGGTGATCTCTACAAGTTTATAAATTATAGTTTTTTTTATATTTCGAAAGACTAGAAAGATATTTAATAAGTTTGAATTTAGCTTGTTAGAAACCAGCGCAAAGTGTGACAGAAATGATATTATGGACTTTTGTTTTGTTTTATTCAAAAGCAACCGGTGGGCCAGTTTTAAATTCATTTTTTTTTTAATATTTGTAAAGATAGATAGATATTATTATTTTACATTTGTATGATATTATTGGCTGTGTTTTAAATTTTTAAGCCGGTTTCGAAAATGGCGCAACTTATTTTTCTCGAAACTACTTTAGTGTCTTTACCTGCTAGAAAAAAAGTTTAAATGGTATGCTGTGTTATTGAAATACTTTCATAGACATTCGCGGAAATTGAGGTTGCATATAGAGTAAGGGCAAATACCAATATATATTATATTGGTCTTTGGTAAGAGGCTCTCCATATATTACGTCATCATAGCTTTGGCCGATGTATGTATTCGCGATAAATTATTTCTATGTAATCCTCTAAATGATCATAATAAAACTTGATTACCCCTAAAATTAACATTGGTTACAAGAAGATACACCATCTATCAAAGTAATTTTTATTTTTTAAAGATTTGTTTTTTAATAACAGTCCATACGTTATCAGTAATACCAATCCATATCAAAGGATTTAGAGTCGTCGGATTCTTCATCACCAGAACAAATTTCCACTACCTCATAATGGGGTTCGTATGAATAGGAAACATTCAAGTACGCCTCATCAATGTCTTCTACCTGCAAGCAGAATATTCGTAATAACCGACAAGTTAATATAATTATTATACTTACATGAAATTTCGGAAAAGTGGACTTTTGAAATATAGTAAGATTCAACGATTTTTGAAGTTCACTATTTCTTACAGATTTCAAAATAGTGTGCACTTCGCTCACGAAGTTGAAAGCCAACGTCCCCCATTCATCAAATACCAATGTGACGCAATCAAGCATTAGACAAGATTTAAAAATCGGCAATAGGCTATTGCAATCTATTCTAGCAGGATATTTTTCCACTATTTGCAATGATTTTAGTTCATTTAGTTGACCAAGGTCTGACAAGTTGTTGCACGTTTCTTTGTAGTCAATATGAAGTTTAATTAGCGATTTAATTTGTGATATTTCACGAATCTCATCGGAAAATCTAATTGGAGTATGCAGTTCCTGTAAAGTGGAATTACTTTTAAGTCCAAAAGCCCGGTAAAGTTCACTAAGCGAGTCCTTTGCGTCAGAGATGATTAATTATTTTAGACTTTTTATATTTACCAATACTTCTATTCCCGTCTCGTTGTGCAACTTGCACTTCAAGGACTCCAAAGCTTCAAGTTGGCTCAAATATTTACATTCACTGAATCCAATGAAATCATTTAAGTCCAATTTTCGAAGAGTAGATGGTGATTTGTGAGCCAAATCTCTCAAAGGATTTACTAGAGGGTTAATTTCGTTTTTACTAAATTGTTTAATTTCCAAGTGCTCTAGATGGGGTAATCGAACTAAATATTGAGCACATTCTGAGTTGATGAATTTTGCACTCAATTTTGTAATACCTTTTATCTTAGAAATTTCAGACATTTCTGTAATATCAATGGTTTTGTTCGTCGTATTCAGTTGCTCCAGCCGAGTTGTACTATTTGAAGAAAATGCGGACAATAATTTCTGTAGGGAATAGCTTGGATTTGATATGTTTACGATCAATTCTTCAATACTGGAGTTCGATAGTTCTGACAAGGACTGTATATCTTCCAAGTCAGAAAAAAAACAGTCTAGTTTTTTCAGTGAGTTTATTCGGGAAACCTTTATAACTTCCTCGGGGACGAGTTCTTTGAAATTACGAATACTTTTAATTATATTCTTCTCAGCTAGTTTAGTAAAAAGTGGGCCTAGATTTCCTTTTCCAGTTATGGTCAAATCCTCAAGATTATTCAAGTTTGCCAATTGTTCAATTTCAGTTGGATTTGAAAGGGAGCACGACATTTTCTTAATGGTTTGAATTTCTTCCACGTTTGAGATATCTTTGAAACTTGTTCTTTTCAATTCACTTATTTGTAATTCTTCTATCGGACTTAAACTGTTGGTGGCGAATGCTTTCAAGAGTCCATTTAGTGATTTAAGAGATTTCCCTGAGATTTCGAGGATGCTAACGCCCGTAAGTTGGGCAAGAGGAGTGAGGAAATCGGCCTTAGGACAACCTTTTACCCAAACCTCCAGATGTTTTTCCTTCTTTTTTAAGGTAATATGAAAATCTTCGCAAATGATGGAGGCTTGCACATGACATGCGGCAAGCAGATTGGGGATATGTCTAGAAGTATTGTTATCAATTATATCGCGTCGGACTTCAATTTGCAGATGTTGCATGTTGGTTAATTGATTTAGAGACTTGATTAAATTCCAGTCAGAGAAATAGCACCCCAAAAATCGAATTGATTCTATTTTTGCAAGTTCTATGCATTCTACTTCATTTACGGTTTGATAATTTAATTTTACTGATTTTAATGCAAATGACCCATTTGGGACCATTGATTGGAGAAAATTTGCAATTGTGTTAGGATAATTTAAGAAATTACATTTTTTATGTATAACTAGGCGATTTAAATCGGGTAGCTTTGATAGAGCGCCCATTTGGCTAATGTCCGAGTCTTTATGTAGCTTTATCACAAGCTGTTTCTTACATCGGTAAAAGGTAAATACTACACTTTCGCCCACAGTTATGGTTACTACAGACTCCTTAATTGAATTACTGTTTTCCAAATTTAAATCGTACTCGCCTCTAATTATACGTTCATTCTTAAAAGATTGGTGTATCTTAAAATGTCTTAACGATTCAAAAATCCCAAACGTTATAGACTGACTTTTACCGCTTATAAAATCTTCGATGATCAGTGTCAATGGTTGAAGATTTGTAGGTCTGTGCCATTTTCTTAAATCATTAAAAAATTGCACTTGTGAACCGCTGGCTTGGATTCCCGAGATAACGAACGTTTTTAAATTGGGTAACTTCGCCAGCGATGCAAATTGGGCAGCACAGCCTCCAGAGCTTAATGTAATTCTCAGCTCCTCAAGATTTTCGCAATGGGGTATTGTATGGGGGAGACTTCCATGGATTTCAGAACTATCCAAGTGCAACATTCTCAAATTCGGGATGGAGGTGCAGATGTCAATTAATTCTTTCCCAGTAACATTAACACTTATCATTAAGTCCTCGGTGATTGTAAGGTCCGTAGAGATTTCTTGAAATAAAATCAGTTCGAAATTTATTGATAAAAGGAAATCTTAAGATCCTAACCTGAAATTATAAGGCTTATCTATCTCACAAATGCATATCCGGACTATGACTTACCTTTTGTTTTAATGATTACGTGTTTTTGATGCCCAAAATATAGTTCAACGTTGAAATTTCTTTTTTCTCTAATATATTGCAGGTGAGATCTCCAGAAAAATTCGTTTTCGTTTGAGGACCCATTGACGCGTAAATCTATTAGCAACTTTGTGATCCTACACGCAAGATCTAACTGAAGATCCTCGTACAAAAGTTTGTGATGAGATTCAAACAGTTGCAGGAAAAATTCATGGGCCAACACAAAGCTAATTAAATCATCATCAATCTTTTCTTTTCTTGGCTCTTTCAACTTGCGATTACTAATCACGTATTTCATTATTTCCAAAAGACTGTAGTGGTCAAGAAAAAATTCGCCGTTTTCGTCCATTTTGTTAGACCGGTAAGCTTTTCGGCAAGTTCACCTAAATTAAAGGTAAATTATAAACCAAAATAAACATGAATTAAATATTACATTTAGTAATTGAAAAGGTAATAAGAAATGAAATCAATAAAATGCTTCCGGATGACCTAACTATTCTCATATATGTATTTTTAACAATAAACAAAGTTGTTCGTCGTTCTAGAACCTTGTTTCAGTGATTCTTAAAGAGGAATAAACATTAATGTTCAAATATACAGTAAAACTCAAGTAAGATAAATTTGTTACTTTACATTTATTAAAATTTTTTTAATGTTTTTTTTTTCAACTTAAAGGCAAGATAAAAAATTGAAGATTTGAAAATATTTGAGACTATGTATGTTAAAGTTGCCATGTTAAAGTCGCTCTTTCGGTAGAGGCTCGATATACATTTTTCAGATAAGAGTAACAATGTATTAATATCCAGAGCATGGTTTATCATCTACATTTTTTTAATGTGGTGGGGGTGGGGCAAATTTTCAGGATAACGTTTTAAAGTTTTGGAAAACCAAAAATCGAATACAAAACGCGCTCAGTTGGAAGATTTACTCGGATAAATATAGAATTGTAATCAGGTGCTGACTACGCATTAATAATACGAGCAGTGGGGGGGTGGTGGGCGTGGTGCGCACCGTGGTTATTTTTAAAAAGTCGAAAACTTTAACCAAAGCACTGTAGTTGGATGCTATATCCTGATCACTTATTAAATTTCGAAGCGAACGGGTTGAGCTTTTGACGCAAACTGCTAGTTTTTTACTCAGAATTGGAGTTTAATAGCTGATGAGCAACATGCGAATTATCTTCTTCTTATTTACCATTCACATACTGAAAACGAATGAAGTGTTGAAAAGCACCCAACTATGAGCGCAAAATTTAAAACTTATTTTAAAATATTTAACGTATTCTGAAAGTTTTATTTTGATTAAAAACTTGCCATTACAACATAAGTTGCATAAAAAGTAAGGAATCATGAATAAATAAAGTCATTATTAAAACAAAAACATAATTATTAAAAAAAAAATAAAGAATTAATTACAGGGCTGGTGTATAAGCACCCATAACTGACAAAAAGCTCCCTTATCTAGCAAAAGCCGGGAAATTCAAAAACATTTTAGTTGAGTATGTTAAGTTTATTCAGCTACTTTTGCTTTATTATTATTCACTTTGAAAATTTCAGATTACATGCTTTGTTGGTTACATACAATTTGCATTTTAGTTTCTGGATATATTTATATTTTTAGCCTAAGCCGGGGTCAACTGTTGAACTCGACTGGCATTTTCCAAACGTTTTCCCGAGGGAAAAGCCACGAAGGCCCGGCCAGCTGGTGCTTACTTCGCTAAAACACAGATTAACACGTTTACTTCATGCTGTTCGCATTGCACTGGCGTACATAATGTCGTATATGTAAGTAATAATTATATTTAGTTAAGAGTAATTAGATAAACTAAAACACACATGTCAATTACCACAATTATCTAGAATTTCGACTGGGGGTTTAAGTACAACAATTAGTTAATCGGTAATCGAAAAGAATTCAGTATGTTACATGTTGCGATCGATCGGCGGTGAGTTGAGTAGCTCTACGAGTATAGTGCAAAAATGTAGAAAATGTTGTGGCCATTTGAGTTCCTCTCACTGTGCGTTTGCTTGTCATCTGATCTATCGATCCATCGATCCACGATCCTACGATCCGATCCGTCGTCGCGACTTTAACATTTAATTACGAATTATGCCGGAGGTTCGTTTCACAATTTTTGTAAAAAAATACATTTCATGTTCGCTTCCTACATTTAGCTATGCTAAATCATTATTGTTATTCTCGCATTGATATATTCAAATTGCATTCATATTCATGTTCCAGACTGTAGCCGGTGAATCCGTGTGTTTGTGTGGGTGCTTTCAGAGACAAAATCGATTCGAAAGTATCGTGTGAACAACCGCTTAGTAACTTTGTCTCGTGTTTCATACATATATTCGTTTAATCAAATCCTGGTCCTGGTTGAGTATTTTGCTTGCGAGACACTTTTATCTTGAATGACTCTGACTTATTCTCGTATCCTACACTGTACATTATCCTTACTGCCTCCTGTTTACCAACTAACATAAACGCACAGATGCCAAAGAGAAATATGCTTTAAAAAACTGGATTGGGTATACAGTTTGGTTTCGCTTAAGTGCTATGTTTAAGGTATAAGGGTTCCATTTTTGATGACTGCTATCTCTGTAAGTGTTGTGTCCTTTTTTGTCAAAAGAATAACCAAAAATTGGGCAAGGGATGCTAAAACCAAAATTAAATTACAACTGAGTAGGTTTTTTTTTTATTTTGGGCATAATCTTAAATTATAATAATTAAAAACTTATTTTTTCTGGTTTTGATTACGTTAAAGCTTACATATTTTATTTGTAAAACATAAAGTACAAATACGCTTTGCATTGCATTTGAAAACTAAACTTAATCTTAAATTATTTCACGAAGTTGCTGCACTCAGATAAGTGCCATTACACGAATCTCTGCTTTAGTTATCCAAAGCAAATTAAGTTACTATACGTTTAAACTATAATTAGCAGTTAAAATAAAACTAGGTATCAAACTAAAGCTAGAATAGTTATACTCTTACTCTGCGTTCAATGCGAATACAAATACGAAACGAAAATGTAAATTGCTTTTGATTCTGAGTAGTTCTGGTTTAGAAATCAGATGTGGAAAAGTAAAACTAACAGCAAAGGAGTCTAATTAAGTTAAAAATGTCAAAGGTAATCTTGAGCATATAATACTTTGCGTTTCATATACACAAATCCGGAAACGAAAACAGAATAATATAGAACAGAAATGCGGATCGAACAAGAAACTAAAAGTTGACTGAACGGTGACGCAGGCGATGACAAATAAATTAATTACAATTACAAGTTACATACAAATTAGGATTGAGTATGCGTGTGTTCTGGGTGTGAGCAAAACGATCAGAGAACAGACGCACAGAAGGAAAAATAAGTGCGAGGCTATTGCTCACTTGGGTGGCGGAAAACCCTTTGCCCAAAACACGTTACAATATCATTTTCTCACACTTTCGTTTGTTGCTCTAGCTTGCTTTCAAGCCTTCTTACACGTTAATTTTGGAATTCTTTCTCAGAAGACGTTCACTTGTTTTTGGTTGACAGGGGATTGGAGAGCATAAAGATAAGGTCGTTCTGTTGTTGCAGGATCTTGTTCAGCATGTCACGCCATCCCGCGTAGTTCTCCGGCGACGCCGCCTGGCAGATGATCGTCATCTCTGGGATCTTGGGGTCTGTCGACTTGATTTGAAAGCGGCAGTCGCCCAGTTCCTTCATTTGCATGTGATTGAGCTGGCGGGCGAGACGGATATGTTTAGCCATTAAGAAGTTTAAAATACAATTTGATGCTTGACGTAAAACATTGGAATATATTAGCATCCTTACATTTATTTAGTAATGGTAATTAATTATGACTCATAAAAAAAAAATTCTTACCTGTATGTGCGATCGGTATTTAAATGTGGGGCTGGAGAACTGATTCTTGGCTTTCTCAATATCGGCAAAGATGATGATCTGCTGGAAGAGGAACACCTGGAACTCGCGATGCTTCTGCGAAGCATCCACCAGGCAGTTCATGGGTCCCTGCATCAGCAGGCTGCCTTGTGCGGTGATCTCCCCATCAAAGTCCTGCAGGCTGCGCAGCACCACCATCATATCATTCACCGTCTTGACCACCACCTTCATCTGCTGGTAGGCCTCCTGCAGCATGGGCACCTCCTTATAAAGGCCGGCTCCCTCGGTGGCCCTGATGAGCTCTTTGATCAACAGCTCGTATTTGGTGATGCGCTGAACCGGCTTGATGATCAGGTTGCTCAGCTGGGGAATAAAGAAAAGGGGTTAAGTTTGTAACATCTTATGGATTCTCAACGTTAAAGAAGTCATCGGAAAATTAGAAATAACTAACATGAAAATGGGTCAACAATTTGATCAACGTAAAATTGAATGTAGTTTTAGAGAATCGAATTACAAGAGCTATACCACTTTGGAATCGGCTTAATTTTGTTAAAGTAAATTTTGGGTCACTCTATTACAAGATTATTATTACAAACTTATTAAGTAACTTAAACTTACGTCCAGGCGATCTCCCAGCTTCTTTCGTATGCAGTCGAAATACTGATAGTGAGCGCCGACTATATATTCTGACAGCGGCTTATTACTGCAATAGGTGTAGTACAGGGCGAACTTGGTGGATGAGCGCGCAATGAGTGGACCCAGATCCGCTGGTGATTTTTGGCATGTGCGCAGGGCCCTTAGGAAGTAGCTGGGAATATAAATTAATATTTTTAAATAAGAACATTTCATTTCGAATCGTTATTAGTACTCACTCCCTGTGCCACTCGTAGATGTCCTTGATATTGTTAAAGACCAACTTCATTTTACCACCCTTTAAATCTTCAGGCATGGGTATATCACTGTTCGCGTTATTGATCTCTGTCATGTAACTGAATAGAGGATACCTAAATTAAGCCAGAATGCTCCTTAAAGAGTTTAACACAGTACATACCCCTCGACAATCTGATGGAGATCCTTTACATACGCCTCCTCCGTGGACACCAGCTCCGCAAAGACGCATTGGCGCTTCCTGAGAGCACCAGCTTTGTCCGAGTGGCCATTGGTGCTGGCATTTTCCGCTCCTCCGCTTCCATCCACGCGACTGTTGGACTCGTGTTGTTCCTGCAGATTAGAAATTCAGGAAAATGGGGTTAGTCCTGCTCTCGGAACCATCGTCGAAAGCACTTACCGTTGTCGTCTTGACAATTTCTTCAATTTCCGATAGTGGATTGTTGTCCATCTTGCCGGTGTTGGCCTGCAAAAGTGAAAAAAAAAAAGTTTGTACAACGTTTATTGCATTATCCCCTTGTGAAGCAGGCGGCTAATTGATAAAGTTTTAGACAACACTTTACTTGATTCTATCCCTTTTTGAAATTGAATAAACTATGGTTATATTGAATTAGACCGACGCACATCTCTCATACGCCGTGTGGACGTATATAGAGTTGAGGGAAAACCTCTATAATTTTGTGGCAATTTTCAAAATATACATATTCTAGATTGTTGCATGTTTAGCTTGAATTGAATCACTCGCTTATTTTTATTTTCCGACACGCGCAATCGCACACAGGGTCCCGATTAATTCAGTTGCATAAATAACAGCTTAACTAAACACAAACACACTCGTGAACTGTTGGTTTTACTAAATTTAAAAGCAAAATTCGTTTTGGGGTATGGTAAAAAGTTTACGCAGTCAATAGATAATATTGTGTAAGAATTGTTTTTCTTCAGTTCAACTTTCCGTTCTTTGTACATATGTACTTAGTTTTTATTTTGCGATAAGATTAAGAACGGTCAGCTGTTTGGGCTTGGCGAAATTCTGAATTTGTCATCGGAAACAAATTACAACAGCGAGTGCAGCTTACAAATAAACGGAAGAAACAGCTCATGGCACGTGTTGCTTAAAATTCCGGGCGCACAGTGGATATTATTTTGTTTGTTATTTTTCAGCTACCGTTTATGGAGAACTGTCTTTCGAAAATGTGGCCTTTATAAGGACTTTGCGACGGCGTCGCATTTTGGCAATGCGAAAGGCCGAGAATCTCGAAAAGCGTCTGAGCGCCGAGCGATGAACGGAGCGACTGACTGACTGGCCTAATAGTTTCGCCTGTTGCCCAGCATGTTTTACATATGTAGGCATAGCCCCGCGTACCACCCGTACCACCCAGCCCATCCACCCACTCACCCACCCACTCACGCACACACACACAGAGTGATTCCCCCTTGCGACATCAAAAAGAAACTCTCAATCAACGCTCCGCTAACAATTTCGTCGCAGTCACTTGAGGAAAAGCGTTGAAATAATTGTACGGCATACATATAGAATCGAATGAGCGAAAGCTAAACAGAGAGATATAGTGATATGAATAGGGTGGTCGGTGGTGGGGGGGTTTGGGATCTCTCTTTGTATTCCCCGTGTTTTCGAAGGTGTGTGTGTGTTTTGTGTAGCTTTGCTTTGCACTGTTGTTGTTATGAATTCTTAAATACATAAATTAATTCGCATTTTGCGGCGAAATGTTCTAGAGGGTGCCGCTGATCGACAAGGAAATACCTCCGGAAAATTATTTAAACCATAATTTAGTAAATTTATGGAAAGTACAGACAATTATTTTAAATTTTTTATTGAAAATTTAAAATATTTACCGGCAATTGAAAGAAAATTTTTTGACTAGCAAATTGTTGTTGAACACCCACGAAAACATAATAAAAATTTAAAAAAATGTTATTGCCAAAATGCAGTATCATATTATAATGCTATAGCCAAGATAAATATTAAATTAAACAAATAGTTAATCAATATTAGATCAGACAGTTTTCTTAGAATAAATTTTATCAGCAGGACGGCCATTATTTCATTACTGTTATCCCACTTTCAAGTACAAACTTATTTCAGGGGATTCTAGCTCTCCCTTTTCGCATAGGAAGTCTGATATCAGCGGGCATTGAGTTTTACATTAGAATTTCATCAGCGGGACAGGAAAAACGTAAAACAACAACTAAGAGGAAGAATAATAAAAGCTGAAACCAAAGGAACAACAGTACGGCCACGTAGCCACGCAATGACGTACCCACATTTAAGTGGTGTGACATTTAATTAGCCTGTTCGAAAAAGGCGGAGGAAGTCGACTTGCAACGGCTGATGTCACATATATATCCACATAGCATTCGCAAAGGGCGAGAAGTTCGACAAGGAGAACTATTAAAAATTAATGACAATGCAAATAGGCGAACTAAACAAAGGTGGCACAGGAATAAGGCCAAGACCCGAATGCCAAGTAGGCCAAAAAGTTAACAGAAACGATATACAAAAAGCTAACTGGGTTAAGCAGTTCGCACCCAGGCGATACAAAAAAACTACAGAATTTGTAAACAGGAAAGAATACAATTAAATGTTGACGCATCAAGGCAAAAAAAAAAAAACGTGTACAAGGCAGTCAAAATTTTACATGTCTAGCGAATTCAGCTAATAAGCCATCATCATCATCAGCAAAATACAGAATTCGGAGCAGTATAGAACAGACCAGACGACATTCAATTTATTGACGGACAAAGTGGCTATAGAGATGGCGACGTTCTGGCGACGGACACTTTGGGATGGAAAAGCTTGAAATGGATGCGACACTAAATTGGGGACCACTCAAAACAGAACCGAACAAGAAACGAATCATTAATCAATTTGAAGGAGAGCCAAAAGCAAACTTTAAAACTCTGAAGTGCATTGGTGCGATAAAGAACAAACACTTAAAATATGCAGCACTTGGGGAATTACGAAAATGTCAATGCGTGGGTGAAGAATATTTTTTTTTTCGAATTCTTGACATTTCAAATGACTGTCAATGTCAAGAATTTTGTGAGATTTTCCTAACTAATTCTTTTGTTAAGCTTGCTTGTGTTGTATTTGGTGGTGTTAAACGAAAAATTCTAATGAAAAGGACTTCTGACCTATTTTCTGCTTTCATTTGAGACCAAAACCCCACACTTAATTAAAATGCATAATAATGAAATATAGGAGAAATAATAAATGAGCTTAGTTGGCTTTGTTCTGACCACGGAGAAACTTCTATTTGCAAAAGTTTACAATTAGCAAAGTGCAAACTTTTTCAAAATTAACAATGTTAAAAAGTTTAAATCAAAGTTTAACTTGTCATGATTCAACTTTATTTCTAAGGTACATAATATCGGTTTTGCTCGACTTAAAACCCTATATGTCTCACTATTTTACTGCCAACTCGAATTTATTAAAGCAAACACTTTATCATTTAGTTTAGTACCACACAAGTAGAAACAGTGCATCGAATTCTGCATAATTTAAGGCCACGTTCGCAACCATGAATCAGCCAGCCACACTCATTGACTATATCCTTTCCCTGTAATTTGTTCTCAAAAGTACCAACCAAGTGGAAGTCCCGCCCCCACACACATTCATCCGACAAAGTCTGTGGGCTAATTTGACTGTCGAAATTTATGCGTCGTATCTGCGAGTTCGAGTATCTTTATATCTTTGTATCTGTGGTGCGGTCTATTCACTCTCCTGCCTCGAGTGTAAACAAAATAAAGTGGCGCATTTATGGCAAAGGTGGCTGGGCCGAAGACTCGAAAACCTGCAAACGGAGGAGGATTCCCAGTCCCCCGGAGATTTTGTGAGCTTTCTGCCACCTTCTGCTCTCTAATTGAGCAGAGACCGTGCTCGGATTGCCGATGACGTCGTAGAGAAGAGTCGACCGGGCCAAAGTCACAATAAACCGCTTTGATTTGTGTGGGAAACACATATTAGAGGAGCTGCGTGCTAAGCAAACAAACTTAGAGCCAACGAATGTATAGCAGATTGGACGAGGGGCACTGGAAAAATCATTCACATTAGGGTGCCCCAATGTCTTCAACTTTTTCTATTTTGATCTACAAGAGAAAACATTTTTTAAAATCATAGACATAATAACCCGATTAGATACTATTTTCTGATAAATCTGTTTAACTAATTTTGTAAAACGCTAGTAACTTTTCTTTTAGATGTATTAAAGATCAACAAAGTCTTAGTATTAAACTTTGCTGAAAGGATTTCTCTATTAATTGCATCCCTATTTTTCAACATTGAGATAAATTCATAAATTTCTTCTTGGCTTTGTTAAATAAATTACTCATTACTTTCAGCTCCTGTGGGAAATCTTGATGAATCCGTGCCGGACTTGGGTACTCACCAAATTGGCCGAGCTCTCCTTGGCGTCCTTGGTAAATGCGGGCGGTCCGTTGGTAATCAGGTGCGGCTCCTGGATGGGCTTCATGGGCGGCGGCAACTCCAGTCCGGCCTCCTCATCCGGCTCATAGTCCCCGGCTGCTCCGGGATTTTGAGTGGAGCTGGGGAATTGCGACGATGGTACCACGGTGGCGGGACTGCCACCTGGCTGCTGATTCTGCTGATCGGCCATCTCCTCGGCGTGCTTCTGGGGTGTCTGGAAACGCAAATATTATAAAAGCAATGAAAAACGTCAAATGATATAAATAAACGCTCGTTAAATTAAATACTCACTCTCAGGTTTTTCTCCGAGGGCTTCTTCACCAGCGGTTTGCTATTTGGCGGCTTGTCACCTCCTTTGCGATTGATCAGTGGCAGCCAGTTGCGCCTGCAAGATGTAAAACAATTTGAAAGTTAAATGACAGTTTGTATACTTTATCGAGTTTGCTAGCCTACAGGAACTTGCGAATGGTTGTTGTGGTTTGAACAAATTCTTCCATCTCATGACGTGCCAAGTAACCAAATAAATAAAACAAAAAGCGAGGGAAATGCTTGATGGCTGTCCAGCTGCGTGGCCAACATCAGACTGTCGCCAGCATCGGCTGCTAACTTGGCTGAAAACCGCCCGCTGTGCGGATGTCGCCGTTCGCACAGTGGGCACAATTCAATTTCCCATTATCATTTGCCTCTTTAAAGGGCTCCCCCGCAATTGGTTTTATGCTGCCATAATTTTAAAGTCAAATTTCAGTTTATACATTTTTCATTTCACTTTTTATGCTTCAAGTTTTTACCGCATTTGTCGTAAAAAAAAAAATACTTCGTTCAACGCTCCTTTGATTAATTTGCAGCCAGAGCAAAGTTTATGGGTCAAGTTTCGACTTTTTGTGAGGAGAGTCATTAATCAGCCACAGTGAACACTGTCGAGGGAGGACTTCTGCAGCAGATGGCTTGGGTTTCAACAGCTCATTGGGGGGGAGAGGAAAATTGTTGTGGGGCAGGGAACATTTTGCGGTCAGTGGAAGTGCAGTAGGGAAAACAGCAAAACCGCAAACTAAGCTCTGTTTAAATATCCCATTTATAAAATATTAATTAAGCTTAATTAACTGGCAAACTAGTCTCCTTAAACGCTTCGAAAATCGATATCAATTAAACAAAACACAAAGGAGTGAAGCAAAGTGGCCGGGGAGGTGAAACCCAATGGCATGTAACATAATTTGAAGTAAAAATAAACATTGACACAGACGACAAAGAACAGGGACGCGGTTTTCGACAACAAGGACGACTGGTCAGTCAAATTAAACAAGACCAGTTCAGTTCCAGGAATGGTATTTAATTTATTATAAGCTTGTCCACATTCAAAATTCATTTGGCTGATGTAATGTTTTAGGCAAATAGCCAAAGTGTCCCCTTCTATAAGTGCTGATGGCCCTGTTTGTTTGGGTGTGTATTAACGTGGTCGCCGCAAAGTATGCAACAAAGCTATCCTGCAAATTTGCAGTTTCCGTCTCCTGCAAAGTGTGCACAGTAAAAGTATTTCGTACAATCTCTGGGACTAAAACCTACATTTCTCGATTTCTAAGTACTATAGATGTCTATTTTAATTGAACAAATAATTCGTAATCTTTCCATTAGCTATTAGAAAAATAAACTTCATTTATTTCATTTATAGAGTAGGTAAATGGTACTAAATTAGATTTAAATTCTAAATATCCTACTGTAAAATCAAGAATCATTTTAGACTCATTTAGCAAGTGATAAACCATTTTATTTTTATATTTTTAATTTGGTGATCAATATGAATATTGTGGTTGTGGTGCTTTGGTGACAACAAAATCTCAAGTCAACAATAAAAACAAGTTATTCACGATTTAGATTAACAGAGACAAATGATTAGTAACAAATTACTAGTTTAATAATTATTTTTAGATGATTTGAACATTACTCAATATAGATTTAGAAACATTAATTTTGTGGAATGAATATTTTTTTTTAAATAATACAATAATATTTACTAGGTATGGATTATTTACATTTAATGTATTTATTTGATTTCTTCAGATTTTTTTATAATAATAAAATTAAACTCATTAAATTGTTCAGTTAGTCATTATTTATCTGTTTGTAAAAATGATTAATGAATTTAGTTAGAGCATTTTTCTCAAATGAACGATCAATATTTATTCCTTGAGTTGTGAAATACTTTTTCAGTGCCTTTGAGGATGGGTGAGTGAAATACAAATACCGATGCAGGGCAAGTCCACTTAGTTCATTGGACTTGGCAGCACGCGCTGCTGAGCAGGATCCCCCGATTCACCCCCGCAGCCTTGCAACCCCTCCCGATTCTTTGCATATATCCTGGACAAACACACGCGCATATTGACACAGTGCTTGAGACAAAGAGTCCTGACCAAAGTGACAGCCATAAAGAGGGAGGAAGTGAGCGGGGGACATAGTGGGTGACTTGGACAATAATCTATATTCATGTTCGGCAGGAACAGATGTGGCGCATGGAGAGAGAACTAGGAACTACCATCACTTAATGCTCACTCGAGTGAGCCAGCAGCAAACAAAGTGCCCAATTAGTGTGCAAATATTGAAAGTGTTGTTGTGTAATTTCCACAGAGAAACAAAATGAAAAGAAAGAGCTAAAAAAAAATAGTTCCCAGGAGAACCTTGCCGTTGTTTTCCCTACAGTTAATGCTAAGTGCGATAAGATTACCCAAAACGAAAGAGAAAAGCTATTTAAGGTATAGTTTCGCCTGAAGGCGTAATTATAAGAAATCGCTAGCGAGTAATACCGCAAAGAGCGTCCGATATCAATACAAATCAAAAATCAATCAGATAGTACCGTTCTCTCCCTCTCCTTTTTTTGTTGGTCCCACGAGGCGTATGATTAATACGCATGGTCTGTTATCGTTCAAGTTTTTTCCTGAGCCGCTTATCTGTGCCATATTCACAACTAATGACGAAGTCCAATGCTGACTAAGAAAGGACAAAGACGATATCATATTGCATTGGTTCCCTTTCAAAAGAACTTTCCCTTTAAAGCCATACATAAATAAACTTTAATAGGTTACATTGCTCGGACAACAGGTTTTTGATCGAAGCTGTATTAGATAATTGCGCAATTATCGTAAATGTTGGTGGGAAAAACGCAACCGGTTGCCAAGCCATACCGTATTTACGGGTATTCCCTGTTTGTTTCGGTGATTATCATGCGAGTGGGGAAAAAATGCCTGAAAACAGAGCCACCCGCTTGTTCTACACAAACCTCAAAAAAAAAAAAAAAGAGAATAGCTAGCTAGATAAATATTCCACAAGCGTTTGGAGTAAAAGATAACGTTTGTAGGGTGAATCCAAATACTCATTTATCTCACCCAAAAAATAAATGAAGCTCAATTGAGCTGCTGGACAAACAACGAGCAACGTGTCTTTCTTACGGCAAACGAACGTGCCGGATTCGTAACTGCAGCTGCATAATGAACGAAAACTATCTGGACTGAACAGATGGAATCATATTACACGTTGGTGTCGATAAATCACATCAAGTTCTTAATCTTCGTCTAATGGAGCTTACTCATGGCAAAGCAAACAGAACTTGAGGAAATGAAAACAAAATTAAAGCAAGAAGGGAATCAAACCTTAAAGTTCTCTACCACAGCTATAAAATGTTTCTCAACGTACAGATACAAAATTTGTAATAATTGAAACGTTGAATGCATTGAAAAGCCAATAACTTGAATAAGCAATAACTGTCTCGAAAAGATATTTATGCAACGTTAACCTCGAAAAAAGTAGTAATTATTTTGTTTTACGATTTAAAAGTCACTTTTAATACATAAACATTGAGTTAAAGTGGCAATTTGCAATTAGGTTTATGTTTATCAGTAAAATAAAAGACAAACAAGGCTAAAATTACTTTTTATAATACTAGTTGAGCTTGGCAAACTTTATCTAAAATTGTTGTACCCTCTGCTGAAGGTATTACAAAAACAAAAACAGAATTAAAGCTGATTTAAGTTGGGCAATTGAGAAGCTGATGAGCCGCACGAAAAACCAGAGCCACATGATATTCAAGGAGCTTGTTATTGCAATTGAGACGAGGGCGAATAATTGAACGTGAGGCTGGAAATGACTATTTGTGTAGTTCTTTGTTTTAATACATTTGTTGGATAATTTAAGAGCAACCCTGAATCTCAGATTTGTATTTGAGACTGGCCTTAAAACTTAATGCTGTTGTATACCCACAGAAATAACTTATAAATATATTATGATATTCGTTAGACTTCGCAATTAGAATTCGAAAAGAAAAAGTTTATGGATTCAACGAACTAAATCTTTAGCTGGTTAATCTTAATTATTTCATATTGAACATTAGTTTCTTTTTGAATGGCTTTTCTTGCTATTGATAAAACAGACTTGTAAGTCTTTCAGTTTTACAATGTTTAAAATTAGTTTTAAACCTTAGTTCCTTTTGATGTCGCACTGAAACTTATTAATTCCTTTCTAACCTGAATAAGGAATAACGTCGCTCAGGATTTTTGTTCTTCTTCTCGGTGTCCTGTTGGCAGCAAACACATTTGAATCCCGACTTTCCACCCAACGATTGCTGATGATGAAGTACGGCGGCAGATCCTTTGTCGTTTTCCGTAGCTCTCAGCGATATGGACTTGATCAGCTTGTGCACCGATTTGGATTGCGAGTGAGCGGGAGCCGAACAACGTTTCATTTGAATTGTATTGTACTTGGATTGGGGATTAGGATTCGAAGTCACATTATTGTTATCGCACTGGTCGCCACCGCAAAAACCGGCGGATTCTGATGAGGCGGTGGCGTTTTCAATATGAAAACCGTTTTCGGCCATCTTATCTAACCGCCTCCAGTGGCCGCAGTCACTATTGTTATTGTTGCACATGGAAGATAAGCGTTCCGCGGAGGTGAACACTTCAAACACGATGGCGTTAATTGGTAAACCCGCTAAAAACCCGGCACAGCGAACGAGAGAAGTTACCAGTACTGCGTCTAATCATAAACTGAGCTGAGTCAACTGCGAGCGACAAAGAAAAGGTTCTCCCTCTGGGGCTTTCGATTTCTGGAGAAAAAATAAGGCAAACTCGCACTCCCACTAAAACAAACTCAAACTCGGGAAGGGAAGGGACCCATAGCAAGTGGTGAGAAGCAATGGGTGGGTACACTTTCAAAATTAATTTTCACCTGTAAAAAGGTAATTGACAATATATTCATTTTATATCTGTCGACAGTGAACTCTTAACAAATTATATTTTAAAAGAATTTATATTCTAAAAAAATCGATAATAAATTATTTGAACATAAAAAGTATAGAAATCAATAACTCATTTAAAATATATATTTAGCTGAAAAACAAAGTATATTAAGTGGCATTTTTTCACTAGTTAACTATTTTAATTTGTTTTAAGTGTATAAAACTTGCCTTAAAGAGCGAAAACAAAAGGCAAAACAATGACAATGAGCATAAACTGAGCGCCCTCTTGTGATTCTTGTTATATTTGAGCGTTTTTTCGCTCTCAGCTGAACTTTGTATAACTGCTGTTTCGCACTGTTCAGTGTAAATGGGTTTATATCTTTATTACCTGCTCCTCAGCTCTACGACACACGATTAATAGCACCAGCGCGAAAATATTGGTATAAGTTACCTATCAGGCACCAGATTTAATCGTATAATATATCAAGTAAAAAATGGTATTTTTAAATATACTAGTTTTAAGTAAACTTATATAAGAAAAATATTTGTATTTATTTCAACCAATATTTCTATTAAATATATGATATTAATAACTTGAAACTCGTAACCGTCATTTTTTCAACTTTAGAAAAATTTTCATATATTAATAATTTTATATTTTATAAATTTAATTTAACAAAAATAAGTTCTGATTTCTTAAGCATATTCAAATATTTACTCATCGATTTATCTAAAAGAATATGGGGATTTCCTTTACATATATTTTGACTTTTATCTCCATCCTTCCCGCATGAGTCCAACATCTGGTATCATGGACCTTAATGACTCAATGATCGGAACAATTAATCCAAAAACGAGTGGAGGGAGAACTCAAGACAAGTCGAGATATATTCTCATAGAACACAGACACGATTCCCTCGCATGACTTTGCACTCTTCATTTTGTACCCCTTCAACAGTTTGGTATTAAGCCAATTGACGAAGACACATGACAAATGGATAAACCTAAAGCAATTGTATAGGAAGCTAAATGTATGATAGTTTAAAAAGAAGAAGTGATTCCATACTTATATCAGCAAAGCAGTCTTCTATAGAGACAGCCGCCGGCAATGAGGTTATCTGGTTCCCCAAATGACGAATTCCGAGTACTGGTTGATTAATATTATAAAACGATTTATGAATTTGTTTTTGCCCACCCAGTTACCAATAGACAGACAATCAAGATAGCTCCTGGCTAGACTGATTTTGAATAGGAAATATTATTCAAAACAACTAGATAAACAAATTAAGGTACATAATCTAACTACACTAGGTCACAAAATTAATCCGACAAAATGTTTCAATTATTTTGATGGTAATATTTTGCCCACAAAACACATTCCCGTTAATGTTATCATTAACTAATGTTATTATTTATTTGCAATCTTTTCAATTTTTTTTGAACGCAATACCACCCTAATCAAATGAAATAAACATATTTTGGGGAGAATCACTCCCCGGGGAAATTTGATAAAATAATTTCTTATCTGCGAGCAGCATTAATTTTAGAAACAAATAGCTTTATCAAAACTCTCTGGGAATTCTTGTAGCTCAAGAGTAATATTTCGTTTTTAATATACAATAAATAAATAATCATCGAAACAAACAACTTTATAACTGGAAACATAATAGGAATAATAGGAAGCTCTGGGTAATAAACGCATCATTTGGTCACAGAAGTTTCCAAAAATTCTGTTTAGTTTTTAAATATTTTATATCTCAATTTTTTATTACGACTCAATTATTTACTAATGATGTTTCCAATTGTTTTTAAAAATGACTGATTGCACTGTCATGTAAGTTTCGGTTACTCACCCAGTAAAACCTCGACGTTTGGTGGACGAAGAAAGGGCATCTGCCTTGCTGCGGTTGCCTACAAAATACGGATTAAAATAGACTTAAAACCACAATAAATATATGTAAAATCGAATGACTTACCCTGATCCTGCATGTCGGATTTCTGTGAGCCCGCTGCTCCGGCTGCATTCGCTCCGGATCCGGAACCGTGTTTGTGTGCACCCGGCGGCGGTTTGAGCACTGAGACAGGGACGAGTCCTTCCTGCACGGCGGCATCGTCGTGCTGTGGATTCAGGCGCACCAGGCAGAAGTCCGGCTCGCCGGCGGTGGGCGGCTCGATAATCTCCACCTGCTGGCCCTTGCTCACGCTCAGCTCATTGGTGCCCGAGCTGGCGATGTAGTCCGCCACCACCCAGGTGGCCTCCTGGTTGCCCAGCTGGAAAGGATAAGAGAGAGGACGCAGGACGAGATGAGTATCGTGTTTCTTGGGCGGTTAACCCGTTTGGGAACAACAAATATTTATTTTTCGAAAAGTTTTTCTTAAATATTTTTTTTATTAGGTATAACTCATAACTCATCTTCAAATTGAGTTCTTATTTCTTATTTCTTAATGTTTACCTTTTCTGTAGTGGTATAATCCCACACACATTTTTTTGTACTCGCTTTTCATTTATTATTCCAGAACGTTATGAACGTTTGTTTAATTTAAATGCATAGTTTCTTTACAAAACAATCCCTCTTCAAACCAGTAAAAGTGGAAAAATCTATTAAAAGCAGTAAATCAATTTCCATTTTCAAACAAAGGCTGCAATTTTTTTCATAAAATCGGCTAAACAAAGCCCATCATCGTGCTAATGATTAAATGAGATTTTATGAGCCATAATAGTGGCATCCTGGTACACAGGCGTCGTGTCAAAGGCGCCATCAGTGGGTTAACATTGTCGGGTCGAGGTCGAGGCCTGGCAAACCTTATTGATTGACCGCCAGAACAAAGGGCGAGGACTTTGAGGGCCTCAAGGATCATCGGCAAAGCGAACGAACTAATTAGAAAGCCATTCGAGCTTAGCACACGTCCATTGTGCCACGGGAAACACAAGGAAACGGAAGGAGGAGCACTTCCGTCAGTTTTGATTGGCGGCAGGCCACCAGAACAACCCACCTCATCAACCCAGGAACAGCCTCCGCCCTTCGGTTTGTGTGCATTAATAATTTATAAGTTTATTAATTTACATGCGGCCTCGCCGTGGGTGTTAATGTGTGGGCGTCTATCAGGTCTTTAAATCCCAACGAGCAAAACCCCAGCGAGGCGACAGAGGATATCAGAATGATGGCTGCATGTAAAAATTGTGGTTAATCGTCAGTCGATGCTATTGGAATCTTTAAAGGATTGCCAAGTACACAGAAAAAATTTAAAAATAAACGTTAGCCAATTAAGCTTTCAATTATACAGGTTTTAAAATTAGTTTGGAAAATATTACATATTTAAATGTTGGTTATTTCTAACAAAACCATTTGTATGTTTATTAACACCAATAAATTGATAAACGACAAGCTGATAAAGACAACATTTTTGGTCAACAAGAATATCAGGCTAGATAAACTGATTATCACATGACATTTCAATATATAAATACATATTGTGAATGACATTATTTAATAATTTAAATCAATTAAATCAATCATAATGTTAAGCTTAATTGGATAAACGTAAATTAAAAACTTACTCATGTTGTCTATTATTTTGAATTATTTATTTAGTTTTATTTATATTAAATACCATTGCGAAGAGGCAATCAAAAGCGAAAAGTTGTTCTCTTACCAGAAAATGTTTGTAGGACTCCCCAAGATATAATAATAAATTTTAAAGTACCTACTTAAGTAGTGAACGAACTAATTCCAACTTATGCTTTAAGAAACTTTATTAATGTTCCCAGTGACAATTAAAGGATGGATGTATTGCTATTTTTCCTGTGCTCGCATCAGGCTGAAATATTTCAGTGCTATAAGAAATTCCCCAGCGCCGGGGGATCATATTTATTTCGCATACAATATTTATGTGGGACACGCCATAAACTGACTGAGGGAGCACAGGCTGCATGGAAACACCTGTCAGGTGGGCTCGGGGCATGGGCCAAATGGCGAAATGATGTCGCCAAGGCAAACGGCGGCTGACGACGGGGTGGTGAGTGGGATGGGAAATAGGTGTGGGTGTGGGAAATGGGAAATTATGATGGCGGAGGGGTGGCTGGCGCTCATAAGCGCAATTAAATCAACTTCATCAGCGGACAGGAGCAAGAGCAGCGGCACAGAGAGCTTAGTTTATTATGCTCGCCTCGCTGCCTTTAGCCACTGCACGAGTATGTGTGTGTATAAGAAAGAAAACTGTTAATTTTATACACAGAAAATACGTATTATTTTAAATATGTCTTCTTCAATTTAAAACTCCTTTATATCCCACAAAATATTAAAAGGTTTTAATTGGTTAAATGTTACAAAAAGGTATAATTTTACAATCTACTCTTTTTTACTTTTCACAACCAAGTTAAAAGGTCGCAATTTTAAATCTCTTTAATGTACAATCTTGTTTTTTAAACCTAAGGACAAATTATTTAAACGAAATAAGCTATGATGACCATGAACTTGCTTTGGACAGAAATTTGCATACAGTTTTATCAAATCTCTTTAATTATCTGAACTGTTACCAACAGCATCAAACGTTAAAGGACAATTTTAAATTCCCAAATTTCATAACAATTTTATTCGCTGTGTACTAGCACACACACACACACAAAGGGACTCAGTTTCCTTTTAGGATACACAGCCATGGTGCTGTTAATTAAGCAGCACTGACACGGAAACGTGCCGCACTTCCCTGCGCGAGTGTTGGTGAGCGAGTGGATGTATTTGTGCGGTAAGGAGCGTGTGTATGTGTGCACGTTTCCGCTTGTAATGCAATTAGTTGAAAAGTTTTCGAGGCAAAGTTCTGGAAAAGTTTTTCGACAACAGTTCTCGCAAGACAAGAGGCTCAGGTCAGCTCTTCAGGGGGGCGTGGTCGGCTGCAAAATCATTTTTTTTTTATTTTGTTTATCTGGGCTCTTAAATTGCCACTCAGCCTCAATGAAAATTGATTGGCGGCCAAAACAAGAAAACAAATGGGAGGAAAATGTTTTTTAAGCTGACATTAAGTGTATGGTTTGAAGCTGCAGTCAAAAATTTGATCCAAACTTCTGCAACCGGTGGCGTATACGTATTGCGTATACGCAATGTGAGACTCATCATAGCCGTCATCATCGTCATCATCATCATCATTGTGGGCTGCAAATTGCTGCAGTCACGCACATCCACCCACTCTTACAATCGCACTAATAAGCTGCCATCAGGCAGCATTTCCCCCTCATTTTCCCCGCATGATGACTTGCCTAGTGGGTGGAAAGTGAAAGCAGCTGTCAGAAATCGGGAAAATCAACAAAAATAGAGAAGCTCTTTAAAGCTACCATTTTAAATTGCCTGGCAGTGCTAGCAGCTACTATTCTTCTCAATTTTCACCAAAAATTATCCCGGCTTTCTCTCTCCGATTTTTCCATTTCATTGTAGCTACAAATTAAGTTCATGTTCGCTTTCATTCTCCGCTTTTGTTTTGCCTTTTGACCGAGTCTTTCATTATAATAATGAAAGGATATTTCAGTGTAGAAGCAGAGGGAAAATCGAGCAAACGGAGGGGAAAATCGCACGAGTTTTTCCAGCTGCAAAATGCAATCAGCGCCGCCTTGTTGGGTTTCGTCTTTGCTGCCTACGTTTTTGCATAAAATAATTAACATGGCTTACAGTTTCTTCTGCGCATTTCCATATTTAATAGGCGGCCACAAGGCTACCGACTAAATTTAGAATTCCCTCTAAGAAACTTGGAAGAACAATTTTAAAGCTATTCCGGGCCTTAAATTGGCAGTCGCAAACCTCATATATTTTCCATAGGCAATTGAAAACTTTCCAGGCGGATTTGCATAGCTGAAAAGGGGAAAACAAACAGAACGGAAAACCCAAGCCTAGAATGCAGCCGAAATTGAGGGAAAGTTTGCAGATTGAAGTCCCGGGAGAAAGTCCAAGGACGAAATACGTTGACAGTCCGGGCTTTTTGCAGTCGACACTCGCATTTCGAGGGCAAAGTTTTTCCACCGAGTTTTCCCACTCTCGCCGCTGATTACATGCTGATAACAATAATAGCTCAGACTCGGAAAATGGCTCGAAGAGGAAAGTCTCAGGCCGAAAATGTGTGCCTTTTTTCCTTCTCTGTTTGGTAAATTGTAAAGCGATTTGGCAAAATGTTTACGTTATTATTGATGGGCTCGCTTGCTCGCCTTCTCCCTCTGTTTTTCCCGACAAGCAGGATTAAAGGGCGTTGGGGTAGGTTTCCCGACCTGAATGTAAGCTCATGTCTTTGCCTTTTGAGAGGCATCGTAAAAACTCAATTGCTGCGACGACGACCCAAAAAGCCATCAATTGTTAAGTCATTAAAAAATATGTTTAGGTAAAGGGGGGTACGAAGGAAAGCACATAAAAGCGTACGTCAGGGTTGTCAAGTGAAATTACAAACATCATTTAACTGATTGGAATAATGGGACAGCAAGCTGTTCTTTGCACTGAGAAAATATGAATTCCTAAAGCAGATAAGGTTATAAACATAATGTTTTTTTTAATTTTAGCTTTTACAAAACAACCATTTAGTTCTATATCAACGCAAAATATTTTTTAAAGCCCCTCCAAAGCGGATGTTTGTGAATTCCCTTATCAATTTATAATAAAAAAACACAGAAGAGCAAATCCGAAACTTTTAACTTTAATATACCCTTAACTCCAACACATAAATCGCCTTCTTGCTTAGCAAATGCAATTCTAAAATTTAGTTGAAATTTAGCTCTCGTCTTGAGCGGTTGTGGATAATTAAAATGTTCAAGCTAACTATACTTTTTTTCTACGCATTTGCTATTCTATGCGCCATTTTCCCGTCTGAGTCACACCAAAATCAATTAGACAGGATAGAAGACAAACTAAATACTTTAATACGCAAATTAAGCAGAATTGAGAATTACGTGAATTCACAAAATGAGATTTTTGTCGAAAACATCCCTCCAAGGTTCCGGAAGATCGGTTCTCGGTACTTCTTTATCCAGAAAGCACAACAACAAAATTGGACATCTGCCGATAGCACCTGTCGGCAAATGGGCGGCTCTTTGGCATCGTTTCGAAACCAACGAGAGTTGGACGACATTCAAACCAAACTCGGTAAAGCAGAAATATACTGGATCGACTGGAATCAAAAGTTTTTGAAATGGGGATCGGAACAACCTAACCCTGACTACAGACATGTTATGTTGAGAGACGGTGAAATGGGCACTTCGAGCGAACGCAATAAACATAATTTTATTTGTCAAGCAGACA